TTCTGAGTAAATGCGCACGCTATGGGGGCAACCAAACTGAACACGGCAGCAATTGCAATGACAGCCTTGCGGCCCAGCCAGTGGTTGAGAGGGTCGGATATCCAGCCAGCACTGCGAATTCAATGTTAGATCGGATATTCTTCAGGCCAAAACGCGTTCAAGCCATCTCAGGACGGAAACTCACAAGAGCGCGATGGTAATGTAAGGCATGGCGTTGATCACTCCCACGATCCACTGATTACGAGTGCACTCTGCTTGAGTCAAGCAGCCATCTTGAGGAATGCCGAACTGCTGCGCGAAGGTGAGGTTGGCACCGTTAGAACCTAAAACTGCGGTTGAGCACGCCGGTAGCAAGAGGCACTGGAGATACCCGTACCTGTTTGATCCCATCCTTGGATGGCTGCGGCAATTGAATTGAGCACAACCGTATAATACAGAGTCCAGGGGTGCTTCCAGCGATGGGTCACTTCCTCACGTAGGAACTGACGCTCCTCGGGGGTAAGCTCCTCGATATTGTCGAATTCCCCTGGTCTCTGGGCGGCCAATGCGCCCTTCTTCAGCTCGGGAAGGATGTCATTCAAGTCATACAATTGAGCATACTCCTCCACTTCTCGAAGCAGTCTGTCCTTTGGGATCCGAGCCAAGGGGTTTTCGAGGCTGGAATATGTTAAAATGGGAGCTTACTACAGCAGATGACAAAGGAAAATGCAAAGGGGGTTGGAAGAATACTCATCGAGGACCCGCTCGGTTGCCTGGCCGGTTTGCTTATATTCATCTACCCTAGAAGAATAATCGTCAGCTAAATCACGAGTATAAGCTCAGAAACAATATATACATTTTGGTTGAGAGCCCGAACCCAGGAAAGCGGAAGGTTGAGCTCAGATTCTTGAAGGTGAGCTTCAGATGGTGAGGTTTGTGTCCTGTCCGTCAGCTGTTGTTGTGATTGAGGGAACAGGGCATCAATCTAGAAGTATATATATTACGCGTGCTATCTGGGGTCAGCGGGATTCATCCATGTGCGGGGTGTTAATTATGAGTTATTTTCTATCTTCCCTCAATTTCTATTTATCATAACATTATTTTTTTCTTTTTACTTTCGCTCAGCTTCTATTCCCCTTACTTCTATCACATCTACTCGTTGCCACGGGCCAGGTATTCCTCCACAAACCCCCGCACACACAGCAAATGGATGGGGAAGAGGACCCCATGATGGGCGAACACGAAGTCTACGGGGACTAAAATGCTAATATGATACCATTCGGCCTGGGCGCTGCTGAGATGCGCTAGCGAACTCAAAACCCCACGAAGACCCTATCCCACTATAAACTCTTGATTGGCACGTTCAGCTTTTTTAGACTGTTCGAGCCAGTTAGTGCAACGGAGAATGGGCCCAACATAAAATTGTACTATGATTGGTAAACTATACTGGTACGTAGGCAAGGTTACCGCGGGAAGTCAACATAGCCTTAGCTGTCAGAACTCCGCGGATTTTTCACCCTGAAATCTGGTCGACTGCTGTGAGCAGAATCTCATTGGATACTTGCCCAATGATAGTGGTGCCCGTCCCAACTTCCTTTTATCTTGGGTGTACTCTCTATAACCAGGTAAAAGCCCAAACAGAAAACAGGTGGGAAAACAACAACTGATTCGTTTCCCCTCCCTCCCTCCCACCCAATGGCGAAAGAAGGGCAAAATGTAGAGAGAAAAAGAAACAGAAAGAGAACGCAAAGGAGACACTCTTCCATGCTGGTCTCCCTTTGGACAAATTTTCCCGCAAGCTCCAGATTTATACTTTAGAGGTTTCATCCACCTTCCCGGCTTGAGTAGATGCCGGGCACACACATGCCGACTTCGGTCCAGTTGGGTCGGCGTTTGCTAGTTTCAAGCCTCGTACTCTTCTCGAGTCCGAGGACCCGTCTTACCCCACAAGCTGGACCGCACACTTTAGTATTGTACTAGATGTTTTACTAGCAGTCTTTATTAGCAAGAAGATAGATCAAGCCGTTCCGGGGCTACAGGGTCGCTCTTAACATTCCTCGAATAGAAAGTTCTGCGCTCTTCAATTACCGCATTGGGCAATGTAAACGCTCAGTCAGAATCTTTGATTCATGCTGTTTTTGGTCAGGTGATGTACGATCATTGCCAGACGAACCTGGTATGGAAGCGATAGCATCCGGACCGAACCAGGTGGCAGTAGCAGTTCATTGCTGATAATTCTGCACAGTGATATCATGTTTTGGGATTTAAGGCAATATGTCAATTCAACGGGTTGTGGTATAAACAGTCGTAACACTGTTCTATATAAACGCCAACTGTGACAGGAGCCGCCTTTCCTCACTCAGTGATAAAGAAAGGCATGCTATGGCATTCGCGCTGATACTCACGGTTGCTTTGGCCTACCTCTGCGCCAGACCATTCATTGTCTATTTCTATGACGCCAAAGGCTTACGGAAGTACCCCAACCTGAATCCTCTATCCGGCATAACTAGCCTTGCCTATGTCTGGGAGCATTCGAACAATTTCCGGACGAGACGCCTCTACCTTAAGCATCGAAAACATTCCGTGAATCGTGTAGGACCAAACGTTCTCTCCTTTGCTAACGTAGGAGCTATCAAAGATATCTACGGCCATGGTACTCCCTGCCGCAAGGACGACATCTACACCCTTACTGTAGGGAGCCACGCTCATATCCTCACTTACCATCCTGCTTTGTCTATGTTAGTAGTCTGTGCAGGAGTCTCAGTGGGATGGTGCCTGCACGTACCTGTTCTTCGCCGTTTCCCCGGTTTTCTTAGGCTGTCCATTTCTTTATACTTGAGAACCAAATAGCACGAATCTATGATCGCACACCTTTAACCTTTACTGGGCTCCAGGAGGTTACCTTGGCATCGGTGGCGAGCACAGGAGAAGAAAGGGAGAAGAAAGAGAGAAGAAGAGATGAGAAGAGATGAGAAGAGATGAGAAGAGATGAGAGTGCAGAATTATTCTAACAGTACTGCCGATTGCAGTTGCCACCAGAGGGTCGTTTCTGCAGAATAGCTCCAAAAGAGGAGGTTATGTTAGACTGATGTGTCCATGGAACGGGTCAGCCAGATGGGACCTTGAAGGGTCTCTAGGCCAGGACAGAATGGTGGTCTGAAAGGATACTAGGGCCAAATGAACAGGAGTACCAGGCTCTCAGATGCAGTATAGGCTACCAACACTGCCAGTGCCACAGTGGCTCACAATGAGTTCCCCGCTAACCCAATATGAGCCATCGATCTGGAGGCGGTGGGGAGGATAACGGAGGCATGGTAAACGAGTTGCGAACCAAAAACCCCAGTAACCCGCCAAGATGTGTCGGGACTGAGGGCCGATGATCGGACAAAGGCCGAAGTGACTTGTGGCTTGCTGGCTAGTAAGGATGAATTCCCCCTCCATCTGCACCGTGCCGCATTCTTATTAGGAGAATATTTTAGCACATTAGTGTCAGGATTATCCCTTATGCTCGTATTAATAATAATGATTTCCCGGGGTGATGGCTCTCAGTCTCCTCCGGCAGCAGTCGTTGCCCAGACATGCGATGGCAGCACGTAGTGAGCAATCTGATATTCTCACGCGACATGGCGGGAAAGCTATTGAGTAGTCTTCCGCTTTTGTCAAAAATGTACATCCTACCATTGCCCTGGATAACCATCCATGCCCACAGGGACGGTGTGACCCAACTTTCCTTGCTCTATTGAGGTTCTGGTAGAACCACAGATATACGGAGTAGACAGGTAGCATTTCGGCCCATCGACAATCAACACAGTTCGGCCTCCACTCCACCAGAATGTTTTTGTGGGCTGTGGCGCGTGGCTGGCTGACTCGCGTGATAAGACCGGGTCGGCTCGCCGTCGGCTATGCTGGCATCTTTACTCTTGGGCATCCATTGCGCCAGCTGCAATGATTTCTACCTTACAAGTGTAAAGCGTGGCTCACATGCCATATCATCCTCACCGAAGCCAGATTCGGTGAAGCTCTAGTGCCAGGTCCACGTATAGGGCGTAGCTCACTCCACTAATGATATCACAGCCACCGTCAACCAATCCCATTTGACGTGCTAATGCTGAGCGTCTTGGTTCAGGATAGTTGCCTTTGTTATTGATCAAGATTAGTTACTGTATACTCTGATCATTAAACGCTGTGGAGATATCCATACTAATAAGTGAACGCAGTCCAGTACAGGTCTATTTACCATTTAATACAGCTCACACTCCGAAATTAGTTTGAAAAACCTCGTCAACAGTCAATATATGTGGGGTGAATCCCCGTCAAAGCAGCGCTAGCGGGTTCCCTACATATTCACTGCTTTCGTTTCAGTTCTTCGTGCCCTTGATAACTCATTTTTCCAATTGCTTAATCTTCTATTCTAATTGAAACTCGAGGGTCACGACCTCGAGTACTTTTCTCAAAGCCTTGTTGCAACATTCCTCCGCCTCAATCTGATATTCTTCCAGAGCTGTATTTCTTTCATCCATCTCGGAAACCCTCGCTTTTGATGGCTGCGCATCCTCAGTAGCTTTTGCTGGATTAGTAGCCGCCATCCCTTACTTGTTCAGCATTGATTTTGTCCTTTGCAATGTCTCAAGCTCACTTTGCCTGCTAGCAGATATGTGTTTCTCGTTGTCAAGCTCATTCTGAATGCGGCTTATGTCTTGTGAATGGTGGCTCTGGATCTCGAACCGAAGACTCGCCCCACGGAATTTTGTTTGGCTTCCATCAGATCAGCAGTTAACTCTAATTTTGTCAGATAATCAGGGGCACAATGATCCGCAGATGTCATTTTGGCAATTATCCTCTAGTCTCTAATGTAATCTTGTCAGGACTTTCTCCTCAGGACTTTCTCCAGTCACACTACACCCGCATTATTTTGAAGATGGACTTGGCAAGCGTAGGCATTTCCCAACTGGAGCCCAAAAGCAAGCTTTTTTTTTTTATCATATGAGACTAGGACACCTCGAAATGATCTTGGAGCTGCATTAAATGCCGAGTCTAAATTCATTGCTCACATAGCCTCTGAATTTGGCCATTGAGCTCCTGGATATCATCCCAATGGGTCGCACTTTGACATTATGTTCAACGGTGTAGACCTTGCCGAAATTAAGACGAGACATCTCATCAAGCTTCTCATCAGGTCTTGCTGGTTCGACCTCCAAGGGTTCCTTGTTCATTCGTGGCTCATTAGCTTTGCAGGTTGGAACGGATCCCCGCATATATATAATGGCATGTTTTGCTGGGTCAATGCCTGGCTCGGCTACTCCTTGGCCACTGTAGGTGGTGATGGGCCTGAACAGAATAATTAGTTGGTAGGGTAGCTCTTTTACTAGCTTGACTTACAAACACCAGGCACTTTCACTCATCGCTCTAACAACCACCATGCGCCGAATACCACTGAAGATCTCCTCTCCAAATCTGCCTCGGGTGAATTGGCCCTGTGTGGATTCGCCTTGGCTGATAAAGTCTGAGATAACAGTTCCTTGTTGTCCTCTGCCTTCGTGCCAGAGGATTGCGAAGACCTGTATGAGTTGTCAGACAGTGCATATAGTACAGAAGGGGTTTGCAGAAAAGAGGATTATCTAAAGGCTCTGTATATAGTCCTTACCCTTCCCACAACAAAGAACTCGCCGGGAGATATCTGAACTTGGTAGCCTAGAGATTATTAGATGGTTCAATGTGGGCCATGGGTAATATATGTAACATACGCCAATCAAGAGAGAGTCCATACACCCCACATGATTCTCCGCGGATGCTGTAAGCCTTTCGATTTCGCAGGGTCTGAAGATCTGGCGTCACATTGGACGTAGTCGAGATTCGATGAATGCCTGCCATGAAGAGGGGGATGCCTGTGTAGCCAGGAAGTTGTTCCCTGCTGAAAATGAGTATTCGTGAGTCTGATGCGGATCCTGAACCGCAGAACAAGAACCTGAACAACTCGAACAGGTCTTTACTTTGATCCGGATTTAATGCATCGAGTCCGTCAATGATATACACCGTGTCTGGGATGTGGTAGAATAACTGGATGAAAACATCCTTCAAATCGTCAAAGTCGGGAATCACTCGCTTCTTGCCGAAAAAGCGGTTTAGCGCGTCTGCCACATCGTTGGGGTAGCCTCTGTCCTTTGCACGAAGATAGCCGCATAGTTGTTCGATGAGACTGGAGAGGATGTAGGATCCATTGAGCTCGTCCGGTCGGTCGCTCTCACAGTAGAAAAAGACCGTTGGAGCAGAGTGTTCTTTCGATCGAGATTTGGCAGCATCAATGGCTGCCGAACTGTGGCACGATTAGCCTTATTACCATGAGGAGAAAGAGCAAAGGGATACTGACGCTATCATCGTTTTACCCGAGTTGACTAAACAAGAGTGATGATTAGTGTTGACCGCCGTCAAGGAGCTCCAGGGGCACGCTCACTTTTCCCGGAGCACCACAGTCTCGAGAATTTCTTCTCTTCCAGCCATGCCTTGAAATCGGGATGATCCAAGAACCACTGCACTCTACCCAAGACTCGTTTGTGAGCAAGTCGCCGGTGAACGTTTTCATGCTCGTAGGCTGAAATGCGCCTGAATATCGCCTCGTCGAGATCACCTGTAACGAATGAGTATCTGTGATATGCAGAAAGTACTGGGTCCTGCTCACTCACCATGTTGCCAAGGCAACCAAGTTGATGAACCCCACGATTTGGACAAGGCCTTGCTGCTACGAACGACTGGTATTTTTTTAGTCGGGCTCGACAGGTTCACGGTATCGGCAACGTGAACGGCATGGACCATGGAGAGAAGCTCCTTTGCGTACCCTGCTGCCGTCGCAGCTGCATACTCTTGCCATTGTTTATTCTTATGAGAATCGGCATAGTCACAGATGCCTCGAATTACTAGGCATGGGAACGTGTCCACCAGGCCGGCCGCTTCCATCTCAAAGCACATGATCCCTAGTCCCCGGGCTAGCCGATCTCTGGTCCAACCATCCTTGATGACCTGGTTGCCGGATGCGATCAGACCGTAGTGGATAACAGGATCATTTCCATCTCTCGGCGCTCGGGTAACTAGCCGGTGTCTATCACAGCCATTGCAGGTTATCGCGGGGCCGATATGATTGTACTGGGCCTCAAACAACAAATCTTCCCTGCGGCTGTCATACGTGAACTTCTCCCTCATACGGGGACGCCGCTCCGCCAAGTCTGCGATTAGATCAGGAATACGACTTTTATCCGCGATGTGTGCTGATTGTAGCGCTGTCACGGCTGTCAGGAGCATTGTTGGAGGCTTGTTCAAGACACCCGTCCGTTCCAAGTGGCCGCCGCTCACGGCCTTGCCATAGTCGTATTGGATCACTCCCCCGGAATCCCGCGTTGGTTTGCTGACAACGACATCACCGAGCCGAATATCATGGTCTGCACTAGGGACTCCCCCTGCAATTCCCACCATCAGTCCAAACCGAATGCCCTTGAAGGTGAGCCGCATTTGAGACGCTACGTTGGCAGCAGAAGTCGTCCCATAAACCCCAGCTGGAAGACACATGATAATAACATTATGGGAGCCCACCCTGCCTGCGATGTAAGTATTGTCGTCGCCGGGGACGGTGGGTAAGGCAGGATGTCTCGCATCCAGCATTGCCTCGGCGGCTGCCATTTCTATGGCAAGGGCGCAGATCCATGCCACTGTATAATCGTGCGGCTTGAGTAATGGTGTCGGTACGGCGGCCATTTGTGTCTACACCATGCATTACTCAATCGTATGTCTCGAATCCTGGATATGATGGAACGATCCCAGACTAGGAAGTCTGTAGGACGTCGAAGGCCCGGCTGAAAAGATGGAGACTCAGCCTCGCCCCGCTCGGTTCGAGCGTGTGAGGAGCTACCAGTCGACGCCACATCCCTGCCGCGTGCGGTGGAAAAGACCAATCATTCGCACTCGACGGTGAATGACATCCCTGTCAATGGAGTTCTTGCAGGAATATAGGACATGGCAAACACAGCTTCCCACCTATTCTTGATAACTAAGCGCCAGTGTGACAAGCCACTCCTCCCTGTGTGCCTGAAATTCGTCGGACCTTAACTCGCTAGCGACAATCTTTCGCGCTTCTTCTATATTGTCCGGATTTCAAATACCTTCAACTCCTGCTCAATAATGATAAGAATGCTCGCGTCCATGCATAGAGAGGGTTCTCTAATGCCGTGAGCGGGCAGGCAGGAACGGTCCGCCAGTCTGACTCCTCGAAATGCTCCCATTCTCGGATAGTCTCTAGTCATCTATCAGATTTGTTCCTAGTTGATTTTGCCATCATCAAGGTAATACTTACAGTTATCAATGTCATATAGCAACTCAAGCCCCTATACCAAACCCGGGGTTAAAACCAGGATACTATGGCCTATCCACATATCATCTCGTTCCTAATATGTCGGATCGCGCGCAGAGTCCCTTCATCAGCAGAATCCTCATGCCGCTCTTCATCAGTCCCGAGGGCCGGAAAATCGCCCTTGACTCCAGCAAAATAACATAGCGAGAGAGTCTCAGCATGACGCTGCACATCCTTATCAATGACGTACGGGATTCGACATGCTAGTTCGGTAGGAGTAGTATCGTTAAAGCCGTTCGTCTCGCAGCAACGTCGTTGATTGAGTTCGGAGGATGATGGCCAGGGTGGGCAGAGAGGATAATAAGCCAATTGGGATGGGCGTAGCATAGATCTACCAGCAGTGTATAGAACGTGATTAGGGCAGAGGTTAAAGTTTTATGGGGATTATCATTGTTGTAAGACATGGTGACTTCCACACCTTCACATATTGAGGAGGAGCGGAGAAATCAGACCACGGAAGTAAAAAAGGAAAGAAAAGTTGTGTTGCAATCCTCTGGGTTAAGCAGCTACAGACTGTACAGTGCCTCTCTCGAGAATCTGATAATTCATTGTCAGCCACTCTGCGCCAATTACTCCGTATAAAGTAGTAAACACATATATGGTCTGATTCTTCCAATATATCCTAACCTAATATAGTGTTTGTATCTAAAGAAAAAAGAAGCGCAAAACCTGTGTAAATTAGTAGGTTGAACCATAATGAAATCTATTAATAATAATTAGTTAATCTAGAATTTAATAATCCTGAGTAGGTGGTCGATCTTACCGTTTCAATAGCCCTTGATCGGTTCAAACAACTTGCGAKATGCAGTGTCATATAGCTGCGAGAGCGGAAGCCCGTAACTGTTCTAGAAATAGCTCGGCTCAATGTAGACCATGAACCCTTCTCCATGTCCATCTGACAAAAGGTCCCTTCTATCATGCTCTTCCGGACCTCCGGTATTTGTTATCTCTGCTCTGTGGACCAGCAGTGGGTCCACTGGGTAAGGGCTGATTTTATTTACCGGTTATCCAGTAAGAGGCGATGTAATAGTGGATCTTGCAATGCTGACATGAAGCTAACCACATCTGTCACAGCAGTCATTTCATACTTCGAGAACAAGTTGCGTCAGGTCAGAGTCGCTGGAAGATATAAAGCAGCAGAAACTTGCTCTAGCTTTCCTTTCTTTCTTTCAAATCAATATCCTCTCAATACTTCGCAAGCATCAATAACTATATCTCAAGAACAACATGTCTTCCCAGCAGATCCTGCCCTCGGAGACCATCCTCCACCGATATGGTAGCTCCCTAGCAGGCAAGACAAGTATGCGGCCCCTCCTGTAGCTATTGATATTATCTTCTAACAATCCTCAGTTCTGATAACCGGCGTATCTGGCGACTCCATCGCCGGCGAACTCGCCATCCAACTAAGCTCTGCAGCCCCCCATCTCCTCATCCTCAGCGCTCGAGCGGAGGAAAAAGTCGCCCCCGTCATCGAGAAAATCAAATCCATAGCCCCCAATGTCAATACCCGATTCCTAAAAATGGATCTGGGAGACATGAGCAGTATCAGAAAGGCGGTTGACACCCTCCACGACATCCCGAAGATCGACCATCTCGCTTGTGTTGCGGGTGTCATGGTTCCTCCGTATGGGACTACAAAGGATGGGTTCGAGACGCAGTTCGGGGTGAACTATCTCGCGAACTTTCTGTTGGTTAAGTTGCTTCTTCCCAAAGTGAGGGCTGCCGGGGCTGGATCGTCCATCGTTATTGTTGCAAGTAGTTCAGCCAGGAGTGGGAAGGTTCATTTTGAGGATGTTGGATTTAGTGTACGTCTCTCTGCTCTTCCCTTAATGGTGCTGATCTAATTATTCCTGATAGGAAGGCAAAACATATGATCCTCTGGTGGCATATAGCCAATCCAACGCTGCCCGGGTCTTGTTTGTGAAGGCGCTGGCGGAAAAATTGGGAGATCAGGGAATTCGGGTCTTTAGCATTGATCCTGGCGGTATGTGAAGTTCCCTCATCTACAGTCGGTGAATACCTAGGAACTGACCTGTAGCTAGCTGTGCAGTCTGGTCTGCAACGCCATTTCACTCCAGAATTCCAAGAAATGGTTGCCGGGGTTATGTCTTCTGGAGGTAGGCTTTCGTCCCCTGGTATCTTGGGATTTGAACCGCATTGACGGGGTCAAATAGGCGTGGTCGACCTTGATGGTAGGCCCATTGAAATTCCGCCATGGACCACAAAGTCTGAAGGCGCCGCGACTATTTTCACGGGCATGATCGACCCTACGATCCAAGGTTCGCAGACCGTCCCATTGTATTGCCTTACTGAGTACTTACACCGCTAGGACATAACGGGGCCTTCCTCCATAACAATGCCGTTGCCAATGACGAGTTGAATAGCCACACTCGCAATCACGACAATGAGGTGAGGCTCTGGGAACTTAGTGAGCAGATGCTTCACGAGCCATTTGCTGTTTAAGGATCGTCTGTTGTGCCGTGTGGAAGAATGTGCTTCATTGGATGAAGATGTCGCTCTCGTTGAGATAGTTCAATCAGAAATGACAAGGGTCTCCTCTCCCCGCTGCAATCTCCAGTAATTCGTAGAGCAAATCACCTCAGGACATTCCCTCCATAGCCACCCCCATTTCCGAAACATCTTTTCAGATATCTCGTATCCATACGGATCCCACGCCTCACCCCAGGTTAAAAGTCCGGTCGGCTGGGTAGAATCACTGGAGCCTTTGAAGAGATCGTCGCAAAGTTCATCCTCCGAGTAGAGATGGAGATTTCGCAGAAGAGCGTCCCGGACTGAGGAAACGGCACATAGGTCGATCCAGGGATGATGGATGATGGATTTCTGTAGATACGTTGGTTGTAAACTGGGTGGTAGAGTTGCTGTTACTGGTCCACAGGTATTGAAGGGGGAGATGATATCTCCTGCTAAGAGTGCGATGGTTAGACCCATTGTAGTGGCGTTGGTGCACATGGCGCGGATGATGTTCCACTGGGTAACTGGGAGGAGTAATTCTGAGGAGAGAGCGTGGGTGATGATGCCTCTGTTGACACGGTCATGTAACATATTCAAAACGATCTGGCGGGTTTCTAAGCTGAGGTAGCAGAAATGAACTGTAGCTGCGTCGTTCTCTCCCTGGGTGGGATTGTGGTTTGGTCTTGGGGATGTCGCTGTTTCCTGCGACGGGGCGACGTAAACTGTCCACTTTCGAGTCGAAGACCGGCGACTGTGGGAAGATAGTATAGCTTTCCTCCTGCCTAGCGGGTTTATGAGTCGTCTCGCCTTCTTGATTTCCATCCTTCGGGTTACTTACGGCTGGCACGCTGGTTGAGGCGGTTCTGGATTTTTCTCCGCTCTTTGGGGTCATCCATGTCGTGCGTATCACCACGGCCTCAAGATGGTCGTTTGGGAATCTAACGGTTGGGTTTTAGAGGAATGAGGTTGATTCAATAATTAATGGAAAATGATGGAGTAAAAGATGGAGTAAAAGATGGAGTAAAAGATGGAGTAAAAGATGGAGTAAAAGATGGATTTAGTGGAGGAGAATTGGAGACTGTGGCGGACGGAGTTAGGTGCTTAATCCCGAAACTCCGCGGCCCTGCCGCAGTAAACTACAAGCATTTGGGTTCAACTACATTGCGCATCCCACAAGTTCGGATATCGTTATTTCTGGCCGTCACTCATATTTCCTGAATCCAGAACATGTACAAAACATTGGCAAGACGCTGGTCGCTATCCGCAATCAGTCATGAAATATTCAGCACGAAGCACAGGCGATAGTCTACCGAAAAATCGCATCCCAAACATATCTAAGTAAGCACATTATGCTGTCAATAGTAGAACATAAGTTGTTACTCTTGATGATAGCTTCGATGACATGACCAAGGGAGTGGCGCCGGTTCGCAAGATTGCAAACTGTCATTGTTTTAGATGACGTGCACCGTGTAGATGCCAGAATGGTTGTCTTCAGGATATTCCGGACAGCGTGGGATTGACGCTCGTATTGGCAACTTCATCTTAAATTGCTGCCAGGATGGTCTAAGCATTCTCGTCTAATGCAGCGAAGTCCCTCTCAATGGAGGTAGCAGCTGTGAGACAACCTACACCATATCATTAATGGATTCTCCCACAGGAAACGTCTCCAAGAATTCCGAACCGACATAAATATCGTCAGGCTGCCAGATTACCCCAATCAAATTCTCCCATTGCGCCGTATCAGCAGCTGTCTTCCACTCAACAGACGAATCCACCATGGCCAACGACTGACTGTAGCGCAATTCTTCCTGTCTATCCGCCGCCAGCACTCGAATTCTTCGGCTTTGGTGGACAATAGGAGCTCAATGGGATAGCACAGCCCCCAACGCTCATGAAGGTTAGCAATGAGCCAACATCTGTCGTTTGAGAAAAGACTCGACGTCGGCGGTCTTCTGTACAGCTGCCTCAACGTCGTCGGGAAGGGATTTCGAATCATACCTTGTGTTCCGTATCCTGTCTGAGACTTGATTGTCCGAGTGAAGGCAGGAAGGGAGTGGGGATCTATCCGGAGGCAAGAATCAGAATGTGCACAGTGAATTCAATTGAACACAGCACTGAATGTACATGGGTTCCTCCGGTTAACCATGAAATTTTTGTCTCACATCAGTGAAATGTACATGGGTTATTCCGGTTAATCATGAACTTTTGTGTCAGAGGTATCATTTCAATTCACAAACACTATCCTAGAAAGTTCATCTCAACTGGAGATATCCATTTTACAGCGAATATCTGTGCCGGCAGTCAGGTATAAAGAAGGACATTTGTCATTCCCATCTCTCTCACTGTCTTCTCTCTCTTTCAGTTAATTCAGTCGTATCCCACACGTTCACCATGTCGGCGAAGTTCTATTTCGTCCTAGCCATGTTGGCTAGAATTCATTTCTTCTCTCTTGTGTTGGCGGCCTAGTGATGGCAAACAGACTATCGGAAGATACTCATCTTTCAGTTTTGATCATTGAAAGGGGCGGTTCCGTTCTCCAAAATCCTCTGGTCTATAATACAAGCGCGTATGGTGTTGCCTTCGGCTCAGCAATCGACTATGCGTACCAATCTGCTCCGCAGAGGTACATGGGCAATAAGGTCGAGACGCTGCGGGCAGGCAAGGCTCTAGGTGGAACGACCACTATCAATGGCATGTCGTATACCCGCGCCGAGGATATACAGATCGATGCCTGGCAGTGGATCGGTAATCAGGGCTGGACCTGGGAGAGCCTCGTCCCTTATTACAAGAAGGGCGAGGGCTTCCAGGTACCTACCCCGGCACAGTACAGCGCTGGTGCTAATTACAACGCATTGTACCATGGAAAGTCTGGCCCACTGCATGTGGGATGGACTTGGGATATGCAAAACAGTACCATGCACACAGAGCTGAAGAGAACATACAAGCACCTGGGCATTCCGTACCTTCCAGATGTCAACGGAGGCAAGATGCATGGCTACTCCATATTTGCTCGGACTGTGAATCGTGCTGAAAAAGTCCGTGAGGATGCAGCTCGTGCCTACTATTACCCCTTCGCATCCAGACCTAACCTCTCGGTCATGCTCAACACCACTGTAAACCGCATCCTTTGGGCCAATCAGACCGGCACTTTCGGACCCGCTGTTGCCAGCGGTGTTGAGGTCACCCTCAGCGACGGCACTGTAGAAGCCATTACGGCGAACAAGGAGGTCATCCTGTCTGCAGGTTCACTGATCTCCCCTGCCATTCTGGAGCGCTCCGGTGTTGGTAACCCAGAGGTCCTTGCTCAACATAGCATTCCCCTCGTCATCAACCTGACCACAGTCGGCGAGAATCTTCAAGACCAGATCAACACCGAGTTCATCTACTCCAGCAACGTTTCCTACACCGGCCAAGGAACCTATCTCGGTCACCCAACCGCCTCTGACATTTTCGGCAGCAATACGACCAATGTCGCCAACGACGTCAAGAACAACCTTGCAAACTACGCCGCCAAGGTTTCTGCCGCCAGCAATGGCACCATGAGCGCTGCCAACTTGCTCTCCCTCTTCAAGATCCAGTACGACATCATTTTCGAGAACCCTACCCCTATCGCCGAGGTGCTCGTTACCCCCAAGGGCACCAACTTCTACACCGAGTACTGGGGCTTGCTCCCCTTTGCGCGTGGTAACGTCCATATCGCCTCTACCGACCCCCTGCAGCAGCCCACCATCAACCCCAACTACATGATGCTAGGATGGGACATGCAGCAGCAGATCGGCTCGGGCAAATTCATCCGCAAGCTCTTCAACACTGCTCCCATGAGTGAACACACCACTGGCGAATCGACACCGGGTTACACCACTCTTCCTTCTGACGCAACCAACGCCCAGTGGGCTTCCTGGATCAACTCTGCATGTAAGTCCTCCTCTCCTGCTATGAGCTATGTACAATGCACATGCTAATCTCTGCTCTAGTCCGCGCCAACTTCCACCTCGTCGGTACCGCAGCCATGATGCTTCGGGACATGGGAGGTGTCGTAGATACTAATCTCATGGTCTATGGTAACGCTAACGTCCGTGCCGTCGATGCTTCCGCTCTCCCGTTCCAGGTTTGCGGTCACTTGATGAGTACCCTGTACGCTGTTGCGGAGCGGGCCGCAGATATTATAAAGGCGGAGAATTACGGTGGATTATCTGTACAAGACGGTCAAGGATATGTCTAAGGATGCTAGCTGAGATGTGCCTTGGATATGTAAATGAGGTTGAGATGGGAGTTCTTGTCATTCATTTGTGTAACTCATTAGATATCTATCCTATTTTATGGTTTGTCGTTGGCATGTAATCTGATCATTAATGGGAACAATCGCATTGGCTGCACTGTATTCTCTCAATCATAAGCCAGGAAGATTCCAGAGACGACGTATGTATCCCTCGGTCCATCAAGTTTCATCGCTGCTTCCCAGTGCAGTAAGCAGGCACTGTGGGGACAGAAATTCAGGCCCTCTGGCCTGACTGCAGAAAGACGTTCCTTTTCTAAGGGTGGTTTGCTCTTATCCAACCGACTAGCCCCAGAATTTCCCAACTAGGCCAGGGTTAAAACTTCCCTCCGCGCTGTCCACGTTGGTTCTTTTAGTGCCTTTTCCCGGGCGTGAAGGTTGCTCTCTCGTAGGGTCGCCCAAGGGCTGGTTTGTCTGGCGAGCCGTTCGTCAGCAGCAATATCAAGTTTAAAATGGCATTGAAGCGAAAGGCATACCAGACGCAGCCCATAAATTTCCGGCCAATACGTCGCGTTGTGATCTTTAACGACGGCCGCAAGAAAAAGGAAACACTGCCGAATTGATGGCCTCGTTTCGGTCGCGGTTTGGTGGTGCAGAACGGGCTCTGACACTAGGAAGTTCGTTGAGGTTGACCTCATTAAAAACCACGTTTTCTCGTATGTGGAATAAAACCCAAAGCGACAACGATGGTCATCCATGTACCGTGCCAGTTGGCCTTGATCCAGTCAGCATCTCTGGGTACAGACTACCAATGGAGTGTTTTCAGAGAGTACAAACCCAGTTTCTGCGCCAAGAATCTTTTCTGGCTCTGGCCTTTTGGTGGATAGAATGTCCAGTATGTCTTCATTTCGCCTACCAGGCGAATGACATTATCACTGGAACCGATCATCACAAGATCAGGCTGCCTCATGCCTGGCTCCATGGCTTCCTTGCTCTCAGCAGAACCAGTATCAATATGTACGCCAACCTGGTAGTCAGCCATCTGGACACCAAGGTTCAACGCATTAAAAATGGGTCCCAGCGAGGTGCCCACGTGCTGGACATATCTTCCCTGTAACCCTCCCTCGTTCCCAGTGATGTGATATTCTCGTGGGGTCCGAGGCCTAAAGTCCTGGGGAGGTGTTCCCAAATTCTCTACTCGCTGTAGGACATGACGGGGAAAATCCGTCCACCGTGTGAGTTGATCAGGTCGCAATGTATACGTGGAGTCGCTGGGATGAGTTGTGTGACGGCCCGGAATCACACGCAACGTTGGCAGAGGGGACCAGAGAATGTGCTTCTGATTATTGGGAAGGTTTAACTGAGCCATCATGAAGATGTTTTATGATGCGTCTGGAAATCAGTGATGTATGATTTTGAAAAACCACAGAAGTGTCTTGATGTAAAGAAGACTATGTTTGTATGTAGCCAACAGAAGGTGTATTTAAGTCAGTGGAAGTTGAATGGTCTTTATCAGCCTCTAATTCGGATTCTTCCAGACAATACGGGCGTTGAATTCCATCCATGTCCATAGCCCAGAACTACGAACAAAGGTCACACACCAGTAAAATAGCCAACGTGAAACAAAGGCTGCGAGCAGGAGAGACATTCTGGCATGGCGTTGATTTGATCTACTGGCAAGCCGCCTTGCCGTCAATGAATTCTCATGCAGAGAGCGATTGCCAAACATCCCTCCAATTCTACTATTTCCTGACCACTGCTTTCTGTTGGCGCTATATCTAAAATAGCACCACATGTCTCTAAGATGAAGCATGCAATGATTGTATGGCAAATTGAATTAGCACTTTTCTTTTTCCTGAGTGAGATCCTAGATTCCTAGGTTTCGGGATTTCACATGACTACTACCTACCCTGATTGGGTAAGGTGTCACAGTTTCCTTAGGAGTACCCTTTAAAGAAAGACAAAGATGACGTATATTTTATACTTACACTCTTTATTCACTGTTTGCTTTGCTGCACCCTTAATTCAAACATTCCTCAGAAGTAATGAAGGTCCCAGAGCCTCTGTTCTTCCACTCTCCTCTCTACATATCTCGTCTTGACATCTTGTCTTAAACATCCTCTCTCAAACATCCTATTTTGAACGTCCTGTCTTAGACATCCTCTCTTGAACATCATCTCTTAAACACCTTGTGTTGAACACACTCTCTTGAATATCTTCTCTTGAACATCCTCTTTTGATATCTCCTCTCCGTGTATCTCCTCTTTTCTATCCCATCATTCTACGTCATCCACTAAAGCTTCCATCCCAACAGTATCCATCTCTTATCATGCCTGACTGGAGGTTTGACCTCACTAATCGGGTTCGGACCATCTTGGGAAGACCCGTCCTGATCGAGGAGCAGCTGACAGAGCTTCCCGATCCGAGATATTCTGAAAGACAGGTCCTAACGCTGGCTCGCTATACGGATACTAACGAGCCAATCATGCTGAAGATCCGCTATGAGTGAGTTAACTGAGCACACCATTAACCAAGCCATTTCTCCTACTAACACTACATATATCCTTTCAGACTACGACCTGAGAGCTTCGGTATTAGGGACCCGGAATATTTGCAGGTAATGCGACAGTGGGCTCAAGAGCACTACCTTGAAGAAGTGAAGCTGGTCGAAGATGTGGAAGAGATTGGCCACGGACCTGCATACCTCGCCCATGCCACTCAGCGAGCTGGAGAGATGTTCCCTTATCCTGACGGTACCGTGAACTTTATCGTTATGACGCGGGTACCTGGTGAGAATGTGGCTCGTATTTTCCGCACTCTTTCGAAGGAACAACTTGAAAGCATTCGACGCCAGCTCGCCTTCATACTCGAGTAAGTGTATCACTCGCCTGTCGGAACGAAAAGCCATGTTCTGACCGGTCCAGGCACATGCAGCAGAGGTGGTTCGTTCTGTCAGTTCAGAGTCCACATTTCCTTCGATACGACAGGGCGAATGACAAGCTGTAAGCTGGATCCTCTCTTCCACCCCCCCTGTGTCTCTTTTTTTTTTTTTTTTAGTCATCACGCCCATATATTGACAAACACAGGTACATCATAGATTACAGCTACATGACCTTCACGGACCCCAATGATCCCGACTCCTTACCGATCACCGTCGATGACATGTACGTCCTCGCATTCGACATCTGGCGCGGTCCCGAATTCGAGCCTAGAACTCAGGGAGGCCCATCCCGTACAGACAGAGGGTTTGATAGCAATGCGCCTTCTCTCAGGTCTGGTAATACTCCGGGTTCTGGAAGTCCATCCAAGCAGCCCCAGCAGCGCACTGGTCAGGACAGGAACCAGGAGAACAGACCTCCGCTCCCACGCTGAGCTGTAGGGGTCGGACGTGTGGCTCAACTGCAGAAGGCAAAGGATTCGCTGCCTCTGACGAGAATGTTGAGCATTCTGGCATCTGCACGGTGCATGTCGTCTCCAACAATGAGGGACAGTGAGGACTTGCAATGTTGGGAACCGGCGCCACTCCATTGGTCATGCCATCGAAGCTATCATCAAGTAACAGATATATGTTCTCAGATAGATATGTTTCGGATGCAACTTTCCGGCAGACTATCGCCAGTGCTTCGTGCTGACTATTCTAGAAGAATCAACAGTAGAGGCTACAAACAACATTCACTTTCCATAGACTTAAATAGACCTTCTGATGGCCACATGTAACAAGTATCTTCTGTAAGATATCTCCCTTACGTCAAACACCTTCTGCTGGTATTCAGAATGGCCCAACTACGACTCACCAGTGACCATAAACATACTCTCTGGTCGCCTCTGCCAACCATGTGTGTGTTTCCTAACAGTCTTACCACTCGACCGAGCGAGTCCAAATACACACTGTGAGAGGACCAGGTCTTACAGTAGTTAGAATTCCCTCACAACGTGTCACAGAGGGTAAAGCAGCTGGGGGAGCCTCCCGAGGGCTTTACGCCTCGAGTCCCTGCAGAATCCCACGTGACCGGAAATGAAAACGGTCTACAAGGACGTTACGTTCAGCATGTAGGAAAAACGCTGGGACCAATCTTCCACGAGTTGAGACTCGATCTCCTTATGGCCGACTACCAGGTCGGACTGCAAGTCGATACCCTCTCCACTGATAGGTCGGAAGCGATGGAGCGGCGCAAGAGGCAGCCCGACCTGATAATAGTGGGTGCCAGCGATCATGTAATTCGCCTGGTTGGTGAATTAAAGACATACTGGACGTTCCAGCCAAAAACGGGCCAGAGTGACGGTGACTACCTGGCGCAGAAACTGGGTTTGTCCTCTCTAAAAAAACACTTCATTGGTAGCTGACCGGATCAAGGCCAGCTCGCTCGTTATATGGACGACCATCGATGCCGGTTCGGGTTTTATTCCACGTACGAGAGAACGTGGTTCGTAATGAGGGCAAGCTCGATGACCTTCCAGGTGTCAGAACCGATCAGGCACAACCAGGCCGCAACAAGCACCAAGCCGTCTGTTCGGCAGTGCTTCCTTTACTTCGCGGCTCTTATCAATGACCGCAAAGCGGCCTTCTGGCCCGAAACATTCGGATTGCCCTTGGTATGCCGCTAGGCCCGAAGGCTCATTTTCGGATTGCTGACGTCTCACCAGACAGATCAACCCAGGGATGACCCTGCAAGAGTACAACCTTCACGCACTGGAAAAGGTAAGAGAAGGAAATTCACGGACACTATGCAGGAGAGCTTTGACCCCAGCCTAGCTGGAAAATTCTGGAACTAGTCGGTTGGCGAGCAATTCGAAATGCTTGAGGGGAAACAGCCACAAGAGACGGGAGATACCGTGCGAAGCCGTTCTCCGGAAAATAACTCGATGCTGGTTTCGATATTTTAAAGTGTTTAAGAATGTGAGCGAGGCGTATTTATAATAGACTTCAGATTTATCTTATAACTGTATAGCTACTTTATTAATATAAGACTAGAGAGACTTCATCTTCATGACTATCCTCGACAGAGCTCAGTAGACCTTCCGCCCTTCCATATCAAACAGTAGCATCTTGCCCTCGTCCCTCTCCTGAACAAGTCATCTGAAACTCATGTACAAACTACGTACAGCCCTCAATCCATACAGTCATCTATAACCTCACAGGCCTATTCTCCCTAAACCAGATCTTCTCCTCCTCCGTCCCAGCAGCCGGCGGCACAAGCCCATTAATCTTCCACAGATCCCTTGGGGTCTCCGTCACAAAATACTCCCAGTCGATCCCCTTGGGCTCAAACACCGGCGTCAAAATCGAGTCAATGCGTTTCAGGAATCCCTGCCTCTGCTCCTCGGAGGTCATCGTCCGCGCCAGATGGTAAACGGTCAGGGCCACGAAGTTGTGGTGCTGCTCGCCGCCGATGAAGGATGTGCCGGCGGGTTGCTCGATGAAGTGCACTTGGGCGTAGAAGGGAGGGAGGCCGGCGCCGACGTAGACCTGAGTGATTTGTTGGGCGAGTTGGGATTTCTCCTCCGGGGTGAGGGTATTGGGACTGTGCTGGATGAGCCAACGAGGCATTTTGATTATTGGTGGGATGGTTGTGTTTATGGGTAGATGAGTGGGGGTAGTAGTTTTTGAATGATTGTCGATGATTATCGAGGATGAGTACCGTTATATAGTCAGTTACTGGAATACTTGGATCACCATGACAACCAGTCTGTACAACCTAGGGAACTCGACAGCCTAGGAAAGGGGCCGCTGTGTTGGTAAGGATACTATTACTACTATAGTCCGCTACTGGATAGACATGAAACTGTGGTACGCAAGCTTTGCATATCGAGCGGGGTGGTGACACGCTGCATCTCGTGAATACTAATCATCCCGTCCTTGACAAGGTGTAGTTGTGCTCGAACACGAGTATCACTAATCAGTGATACGAGAAAGTCGGGTACGTCACCCGACTGTCTCCACCAACTGATCACTAAACATTGCACTCACCGGGAGCCAAGGTACCTAGTGCCTTTCTGGCTCCACATTGAGCCAAGTGTAAAAAGAACCCTTCCTGCCAGATATAAACCCCCCACTGCATCCCATGACGACCGAGTGAGCATGACAAAAAAGAGTGTCAAAGTGCCCCCCGACCTCATATTGATTCACTGGCGCCACCGGATTTATGGCCAGCACCGTCTCCCATGAAGCCCTGAGATTGGGCCACGGCCTTCGAACACACAAATGCAAGGAAGAACAGACACCATAACCGCAGAACAAGCTGTCAGAATGTGAAGGTCCAGTTTGTTATCGTCCCAGATATTACGCGAGACTTCGCATTTGCCACGATGCTTGATAGGGACAATTATATCCTTCAATTTGCCTCGCCTATTTCGCATGAAACGGGAAAGCCCTTTTCCCGTCCGGCTGTGAAGGGCACCACGGCTCGCTTGAAAGAAGCGGCCATAGTGCGGAGGGTCAGACAAGTTGTGATCGCCTTGTCCCTCGCGGCCCGGCTGCACATGGACGGCTTCCGGACGGCGAGGTAATCAGAGGCAATTCAGCATCTGCTCCGATGGCATAACCCCTGATAAGTTGACTGGCGGTGCATAGAAAGCAACACCTTGCGACCTCACAATCGACGCAAATGCCGCAATCATGGGGACCAGGCGGTTATGTCAATTCACTCAAAGACTACCATGCATCGAAATTTCTCGCCAATAGCGCTGGCTGCCAATTCATGGAGAAAAAGCCGAACTCTCAGTCGTTTCCCTTTACTCGACTTTTGGGTTCGAATACAATCATTTAAAAATGGCGGCCAAAGCGCTGGGCGACAGAAATAGACCCCTCCTCGGGACATCACAGCAGGTAATACAAGGCGCAGCATTACCACGACGCATATGTTGCTGAGGCGTATGCGAAAGCGTTGGATGAGAAAAGAATGTCACATGCGTCGAGAATCCTCCGAGCTAGCCGGAAAACACTGTGGAGGGATATCGCTGCTATCGTGCAAAGTCACTATCTGAACTGGGGAGCCAAGATCACACTGGAGAACTCGGGCCAGTCCTTGCCAGTTGATACAGCAGAAGTGGAGAGCGTGCTGAATATGAAGTGGAGACCGCTGGAGTCGACGGTCACGGACGTTACGGGCTAGCAACCGGCTTCTCCAGAAAAGGCAAACGTAATGCGCTAACGTAATATAGAGTTAGGCTACTGCGATGGCCTGAATAGGCATTAGAGGCGTGCCGACGGGCCAGGCATATTGCGATATGAACCTCTCGACGTCACGTTTGCGGAACGCTGGCGAACGGCCTAGGCAAATGGCGTGATAGGACAGCCCTGCCGGATCAGAATTAGCGCTCAATGTTATACTGGTACCCAATCCAATGCGGCTTACAATTGATCAATTGATCTTCATCGACAGCCAAGCTAGAACGCCGACCATCCAGAAAGCTTGACTGCCATGTGCTCGCAACCCCATCCTGACGATGGGTCCTATTGCTACCACTTTTTAGGTTTTCTGGAAGCATATGTCGGTTGGAAAGAATTATGCCCTGCTCCTCCAAAAACCCCTCCACATCTCCCGGGTCAAACCATGGCTCTTCAAGGTCTTGAACGCTCAGCCCATTTGCATACATCGTCCCGATGACTTCAGCCGAAGGAAGCAAATTAAGATTGGGGTCGCTCATAGGCGAATGCTTCCGTGGGTAGTGCAACCCGGCACCGCCCAAGTTCAGCATGGGAGGACTGAATTTTTTCCCGGAAACTTCAACTCCCCCGGAAGACTTTAGGAAACGGGTCAAGTATGCGATAAGTTGGGATCTGGTCCATCGAGTCATCAGGAAACCAAAGTGCTGAAGTAACGCGGAGTCGGGAATAGTGGAATCTTTCAGATATCGGTATGCGACCTTATAGGCGGCCAGATGCAACCGCTGGGCGAAGAAGGGGCTATCCGGACCGTACAGATGCGACATAGGTGTGCGTAGGCTGATAAGGGGAGGGGATGGGACTCTGGTATGTGTTGGAGATGTAATAGGGAAAAGGGAGTCAATAGCCATGTCTGGTATCTCGCTCGGCGTCATTGCGCCGACAGGTTCTGCGTCGCCGAGGTTACCATTCATGGGGGCTGTGTTGACAGCGACCGCGGAGTCTGACAACCGGCTCGCCTGCTCTGCCGAGTTCGAGGATAACAGTTCTGGTGCAGTGATTTGGGACAATGGTTTATCTTGCGGTGTGGCGCCATCTCCGTCTGTTTCGCTGATCTGACTTGAAAGTGCGACATACTTGGCAGTCACCTCTTTAAGGGACTGAGCGATATCCGGGGATGTATTTAATACGCCGGATTGCACGAGCCTGTCGCTAAATGCAAGAAAGGCTTCCGTCATCGTCCCAATCACCGATTCCATTTCAGAGATACGATTCTTCAGCTGCGACAAGGTGGCTTCTTGACGGGAACGGTAGGCACGCTGTGCCAGACGGACCTGAGCCCGGCGTCTCTGATACTGCTTTGAGCAGGTGTTCTCAGAGTAAGGGAGCGATAACTATAACTCACCTCCGCAGGTGTCTGAGCATCCTGCACTTTCTGAGGGCGACCTCTCTTCCTAGAAGACTGTTCCACGGTCTTTGCTGGCTGTGAATTGACCTTAATTTTCTTTCGTGATCCCTCGTCCTCTCCGGATTGATGATCGTCAGAACTCGAGGAGAGAGTGGAGTTCGATTCAGTTGATGACATAACGGGCGCCTGAGACACAGGGCTTAGACTCGAAACTGAAGGCGACCGAGCCCAAACACGGTCACTGAACTGAAGCTGCACGTCCGACATGGCTACAAGCTATCAAGGAGCGAAGGTTGAGAACCTGAGGTTTATGAACTCTGAAGAATCGCTTCAAGACGCAGGTTGTTAGGGAGTGAAATTCCCACGTTGCGCCCGGGGCGAACTAAAGCTCCAAATAGTGGGCAGGTCGTCGAGAACGCAGCGAATCAAGGTGGGCGGGGGACCCGATTCTGGAGGAGTCCACCATGGATTATTAAGCGGTCTGCGAATTGTCAGCAATCGAATCAACGTATTGGTCCGTCGTGTCACCCATGTGCGTATTCCGATTGGTAGTGCGTGCTGTCTGAATACGCTAAACCTCGGGGTTACTACTCTGGTGATAAGGAGCAGTGGCGAGTGTTCACTAATCAAAAAATGTTAGCCAAAGTCTAAACACAATCATTGAACAAATCGGAGCAACCCAGAGTGATCTCCGATCGTGAGAGAGATCTGTCTTACGTGATAAGAGGAATGTCGTCAGCCATCAAACCACTCAGCCAGGAGGGTGTCTAGACAACCATTCCTAGCGTAATAGGAATAATAGCGCAGATTCTGGTAAACAGGATATCTTTGAGTCTGATTCATCAAGATGAGCGATGAGTTGATCATGTAATTCATGGCAGCAACTTGCTGTGTGTTGTGGCCTCGGTCCGATATTTCTCCGGGCCGGTTCTTCAGCCTGATCCTCAGGGCCACGGGCCTCGGTTGTCGCCTGAGGCAGAAGTTTTAATTCAGACGTTTCCTTTTGTGGAACTTAGTGATTGGCAGTTGCATTAATGTGTTTGGGAGGTGTCACTGGTTGGGAATCTGTCTTATGTCTCTGTATGATAAGCAGCGAATCGACTGGCATTCTGTTCTCTACTACGTAGTCTACCTGCACCCGACAACTGACGCAAGTCCTCGTAGGAACTAGCCATACCGCGCGTTGGCGGGCTCGTCATCAAACCATACAGGCTGCACCCCATAGTTGATCACTGTACTCTTGACCTTGGTGTAGCTCTCATACGCTTCGATGCCATTCTCCTTTCCCATACCACTTTCCTTAAACCCACCCCAAGGTGAGGATGGATCATTCAGGTGGTGTCCGTTTACCCAAACGATGCCCGCTTCAATCTTTGCAGCAACGCGATGAGCCTGGCTGAAATCGTTGGTCCAGACTGATGCTCCCAGGGCATAGGACGTGCTGTTGGAAATGTGGATGATCTCCTCCTCCGATTCGCATTTCACGAGCGCAATAACCGGCCCGAAGACCTCATTACAAGCGAGATCTGAATCAGCATGTGTCTCGATGATGGTCGGCTCAAAGAAGAAGCCTTTTCCATTCGAGTTTGACGGGTTACCACCACAGAGCACACGGCCTCCCTCCTGTACTGCCCTCGCCACAAAAGCAGCGCATCTCTCGGCAGCTGCGCGAGAGATGACCGAACCAATCTGCGTGCGCTCGTCCATTGGGTCTCCTACGCGCAAGGCTGTGACCCTTTTCTCCAGCAGCTCTTTAAACCGATCATAAAGATCAGTATGCACTAGGAGTCTACTCCCAGTCACGCACGTCTGTCCACTGGCAATGAAACTCGCAAACAGCGCCGCCTTAACCGCCAGTTCCACGTCGAGGCTCGGAAACAAACACACCGGCGCCTTCCCCCCAAGCTCCGCCGTGACGGGAATCAAGTTCGCCGCTGCAGCAGGCGCAATAGCCTTGTACGTCGACAGTCCACCCGTCAAATCGATCTTCGCAAGTCGCGGACTCTCACACAGAAACTTGCCCGTTTCATAGCCGTACCCGCTGACGATCTGCAACACCCCGTCCGGCAGGCCCGCCTCCTTGAACAACGCCCCAAGCCTCAGCACCGATAACGGCGCCAGCTCCGATGGCTTTACAATAACCACATTTCCGCCCGCTAGCGCAGCGGCTATCTTCTTCGTCGCGATCAGAAGAGGGTGATTGTAGGGTGTTATCTGCGCCACCACGCCCAGCGGGAGCCGGGTCACGGTGTTCACGACGGGGCCCTTGAAAGGCGTCACCCGGCCTTCGTGGACGCGAGCCAGCGAGGCAAAGTACTCCAGCCATTCCGGTACGCGGGCTAGCTGGGCGCGCATCTCGCGGATCGGTCGGCCTGTCTGTCTGGTTTCGAGGTCGACGAATTCGGACATGCGGGCGCGGAGAAGGGTAGCGGCCTTCGAGAGGACGGTGAAGCGGTCGGAGGCGTCAGCGTGGGACCAAGGTCCATTATGGAATGTTTCCCATGATGTTGCGATGATGGCTTGGACGGTTGCTTGGGGTGTTGCGTCGATGGTTGCGATGGGGGTTTCGGTTGCGGGGTTGAGCACGACGATGTGTTCGGGGATTGGGGGCGTATGGGCGCCGTTGACCCAGTTTGATATGTGTGGGATATCAGACATTGTGGTTGTTTTCCTAGGTTGTTACGAAGTTGTTGTCTTTTTGTGGTGTTGCGACTGCACATCCTCGTTATAACCTGTAAGGCTTACCCCGCACGATAACGAGACCATGTGGCAATCTCATATCTGATAGCGTCAACAGGTCTAGATAAGCATAGCTTGCTATCAAGATCTTGTCTATCGGGGTTTTGCCTCTGTATATAATATCAGAACTGGTTACTCTTTTGATGCGGATGTGTCTGCTGGACTCTGGGATCCTCACTGTACTGAGGGCTCGCGGAGTAGTTGTCTCCAACTATGTGTATATATATCCGGTGCTGGTGCCTAAAGGTCGTAGCTCATCATTCAGATCCGAGCACACAATTCAAATTTTGGCTCTATTCCATGGAATTTGGATGTCAGAATCAAATTATAATATATATTGTAGCAGTATAGCGTCTGTCTCAGTTTGTTTTCTTTTTAGTATACGGTGAGCTTTTAATTTTCAAGCACAATCCTGTTGTGGGATACACAAGGATCTAAGTCTCTGAGTAAGCTGACCGTCTCTATCAGTATTCTCTGATTCGTAGTCAGGCAGTCAACAGAGTCAACAGATTAGAGTAGGTTGGAACTCTGGGAAAGACTGTCATACTATTAATCTTATTATCCATTTTCTAGAGTTCCATGCTCATTTAAAAGGTTCGGCCCGAATTGACAGCATTCTCACATATGATTGGCCAAATGCATTACTTAATGCTTACCCTATTGATGGCTTTGACAGCTTTACGGACGGAGTACGCTAACAGTCTTACTCAGTCTTATGAATGATTTGGTCACCAACATAGGCTGGTGAGATCCTAATTTCCTGGAATATTCAGATTGGCTAGAAAAATGGTGGCTGATATCCACTCGACTGTCATTCTCGGCAGATGAATTCTATGCAAAACTGCTCTGATATGGCCCTTTACATATGTTTGGTAGTTGAATCTCAAGCTTGGAGGGATCTCTACTTGAACACTATTATTCTATTGTTCAGTTGAGTAGCCGATAATATTAAAAGGGAAACTCTCATATAGTCGTCCACGTTGTGGCTGTGATGGGCTTTGTGAAAGCCCGAACACATAGCCGGCATTGCAGAATAGATTGTGGATCTGCCGTCTTAGCACATCATTACCATGCCCTTACTCAGACGCTCACTCCACTTTCGAATCTTGTCAAACCAAATCTCGAAAGACTTTGCATTGAAGTTTATGCGAGATTATTCTGAGACATGGAGAGCATGTCGAGCTTGCAAGAATCTTCCTTGCTGTTCATTGGAGGCCGACTACACATCCTTGCAACGCTTCCCTGCAGACGGCTGGAGGCTACGGGCTGAATAATTTGAATGGGTACTTTAGAGCGAGCTTGCAATTTAGCAAACAATGTGTCATGCTTATTAACTTGATGGTAAGGAACCGGAGATGAGTCTCGTGTGGAAGTTGAAAGCCGATCAGCGAAGATCAAATATATAAAGGAGACAGCTTCCCGCTTCTCTTCGTGGATATCCAGACCACAGAGCAAACAGTCAGACAGAAAACTCCATCTTTTCATCTTAAATCATCAACACCGACAAGATGCGTTTCATCCAAGCCCTTCAGACTGTTGCCCTCCTGGCGGCCTCCACGACCGTCAAGGCCTGGAACCGACTGGACAAGGCGAACGCGGTATTTCCCTTCTGCTCCTGTCCCAGGTTGTCTGGCTACTAATCCCTCCAACAGGCCGTTCTCGTCATCGACTACCAAGTCGGTCTCGCTCAGCTGGTCCGCGACTACAGCACCAACGACTTCCGCAACAACATGCTTGCCCACGCCGCCTTGGGCAACCTGTTCGACCTGCCCGTCGTGATGACCACTTCCTCTGACGTCGGTCCCAACGGACTGATGCTCAAGGAGGTCGTCGACCTGAACCCCAACGTGACCATTGTCCACCGCCAGGGAGAGGTCAACGCCTGGGACAATGCCGAGTTCCGCGCGGCCGTCAAGGCCACCGGCAAGAAGCAATTGATTATCGGTGGTATTGTCACCGAAGTTTGTAAGTTTCCAGTTTCCCCCTTCCTATTTCAGAGACGAGTCTAACAGGATAGGCACCGCCTTCTTGGCCCTCTCGCTCATCGACGAGGGATACGAGGTCTTCGCCAACACCGAGGCCAGCGGTACCTTCGACGTCAAGCTGGCGGCCGATGCCAACCGTCGCATGGAGAAGGCTGGCGTCACCCTCACGGGCACCTTTGGCGTCGTCACTGACCTGATGCGCGACTGGAGAAACACCCCTGGCCTGGACCAGGTCCTGCCCTACCTGGACAAGTAAGTTGCGCCCTTCAGCGTATCTCAGAATGGCTCTAACTATGACTAGGTACCAATACGCTTATGGATTGGTTGCTCGTCACCACGCTGGTGCCATTGAGAACGGCACTCTGTTCCCTATTGAACGCACCCTCATCTGAGCGCCATGGATGCACAATAACATGATTCGCTAATAACATGGGTGCTCGGATAGAAAGGCGGTTAGAGATTGGTTCTATGTCTCTATAGGGAGTTTGTTGAAGCGATAATATGTCCAACCATTGTCAATCCTTTCCTAGATTGCTTACAAGTCGGTTCAATGTCCAAGACTTTAATCCTGTTATCCTTACGTCGCAGATTAGATCGTTCCCCTTGAGCTAGAGAAACGAAAATGATTCACATACCTCTACGATGAAGCAGAACGAGTAGAAAGCAGCAGGAGTCTCACTGAGAACAAAGAATTTACTTAGAAGAGAACTGGCCTTATACGAGTAGATAAATGAACAAGATCTTGAAAGTTACCTGTAGTTGGGACGAAGCCACTGATATCTACAAAGTGGCTCAGCAACACAACGACCAGTCCGTCCTTGATCCTTACATCCGATCAAGTCTACGCAGCTCAATAATGAGCGAGTATACTTCTGGAGTCACCAGTTCAACCTGGTGGTTTCAGTGGATCCCGCTTGGCATACACCCCGCATCTTCCCAGAAAGGGTGCCGTAGTGGTATAGCGGCAACCCGCCATTCCACTGGTAGGGACAGAAGATGGTGGGGGACTATATCTCTGAAACTCTAGGGGCACGGGCTTGATTGCTATGGACAGCTCAAAAGTATATACCTCAACAAACCCACTAAACCAACTGGCTATACCATAGCTTTTGAGCAACAGCTGTTTTCTACGGCTGTCATGTACGTAATCCCAATAGCTAGCACATCCCTATACCTCATGGGAGGGTCTAGGGGCACAGTTAACTGTACCCCCGCTGGACGCTAATTGATACAACAACAGCAACCCACATCTTCCCGTCATGACTCGGGAGCATCCACGATATGGGCTGTGCCTGCATTGTGAAACTAGGCGAACCTCATCATGATGCGTCAAATTTGAAAATAGGAATTGGACGCCTTACTGGCCCCGTGCACGAGTCTGTCAAATTCGTTGAGGCTCGTGATGTACTCGCGAGCCGGGGATCGGCACCATAGCCCGAAGCCCCGAACTGACCCGAGCGGGATGACGCATACTAGTTAAGTATCTAGCGCTTACATACGTAATTATAGCAACACGGAAAATCACATAAGAGCATGGCAGACCCGTATATGTGTCCACCATGGCACAACCAATTGAGACCTTTAATCATCACGACTGATTTTGGACTATGATTCCCCGTACCGAAGTTCTCATTATCGGGGCAGGTCCCACCGGCCTCGTCCTCGCCCTCTGGCTTACCCGCCAGAATGTCAAGGTGCGCATTATCGACAGAAAAGAAGCCCAACCATCTACGTCTCGTGCTTTGGCAATCCACGCTCGTACACTCGAGTTATATCGTCAGTTAGGCCTCGCCGACGACGTGGTCGCCAATGGCCACAAAATTGAAGCTACCAATATCTGGGCTGAAGGTTCCCACCGGGCCCATATCCCCATCGGTAATATTGGCAAGGGATTGACCCCGTACCCGTTTATTCATATTTATGCTCAGGATTTCCACGAGAAATTACTGGAAGACCGCTTGAATGCGATGGGGGTAACTGTGCAACGGAACTGGGAATTGGTCGACTTTGAGGAGAATGAAGAGTGCATCCTGGCTCAACTGAAACACACCAACGAGCAACCAAACTCAACAAAAGACGAGAAAACAGAGTTCTGCGAAGCAAGCTACATCGTGGGCTGCGATGGCGCCCACTCCGCCGTCCGTCGCGCCTGCAACATCGCCTTCGAAGGCGAAACCTACCCCCAGCTCTTCTTCGTGACAGATATAGAGGGCAGCGGGCCGACGCTGAACGGCGAGGCACACCTCTCTCTCAACGGATCCGAGTTCATGCTATCTCTCGCATACGACCAAGACCGAAAGGCCCGTTTCGCGGGCGTAGTGGACGAATCACGCGTAACCAAAGAACTTTCCGAACTCACGCTCGATGACGTCGCATCAGCCACCATCAAGAACATGGGGCTGCAGATCGACAAACTCAACTGGTTCACCACTTACCGCGTACACCATCGCGTCGCAGCCAGCTTCCGCCGGGGCCGCGCGTTCCTCGCAGGCGACGCAGCGCATATCCATAGTCCTGTCGGCGGACAGGGTATGAACACGGGCATCGGTGACGCGATCAATCTCGCCTGGAAGATCGCCGCGGTGGTGCACGGTAAAGCTGACGCATCGCTGCTGGATAGCTACGATCCAGAACGCCATGCGTTTGCGAGTACGCTCGTCAACACTACCGACCAGGCGTTCACCAACCTCGTTGCCAAGGGATACGTAAGCAATTTCATCCGGAACTGGGTCGTCCCCATCGTCATGCCCATCTTGACCCGTTTCGACATGGTCCGACACCGTATGTTTCGAGGCGTGTCGCAAATCATGCTGAACTATCGCGACAGCGCTTTGTCTGCGGGTACGGCGGGTTATGTACAAGGCGGCGATCGGGTCCCGTGGGCGCCTGCGGGGCACCTTGATAACTTTGACAGCCTGAAGGAAATTAGATGGCAGGTTCATGTCTACGGGGATTTGAAGCGGCAGATGGCGAATTGGTGTCACGACAAGCGTGTGCCTCTGCGTCTCTTCCCCTGGGACGAGAAGTACCAGGCGGCTGGATTTGGAAGAGATGCAGCGTACCTTATCAGACCTGACACATACGTGGCAGTTGCAGAACCGTCAGGACTACCAGAGCGGTTTGAGCAGTACTTGGAAGAAAACGGAATTCGCCTGGTATGATTGATGACTTTCCTCATGTTTATGTACTATATCCGGCAGCGCGGTGTTTGGGTTGGCTTTGCATCTCCTCTCATCGAATATGCATATTTTCCTTTTAATGGAATTGCCTTCATCCTCAGCTTGGGAGCATACGCCCTCTGCTACGTCATTGTCTCTGTACCTTAGTAAGTCTCGGAACGTGCGAAAAACAGCGGGGAAATACGAGGCGGGGTACGTGCCTGCGTATCCTCTATCTTTATGTTCCGGGGCCCAAACAGCACTGTCCTCTGATAATTTTCAGCCCTCAGTCGGCTGCAACCATATCCAGCAATGTTGTGATGAGAGTTTAAGCAAAAGCGTCTAAGGGACTATCACATAGCAAAATGGTACTTTCTATACGCCCGGCAAGAGAGGCAGACCTAGAGATGATTGGAAATATTGCAGCAGCAGCTTTCAATCCCACCACGGACGCAATATCCCGACGCTTGTTTCCACCTGAGCTCCAACCGACGAACATGCCAGTTGGGGAAGCATGCAGACAATGGCGAGCTACCCGCAAGACCTCGAGCTTCCACTCTGACGGCACTGCTCTAATGGTGGCCGTAGATGATGCTCTGGATAGGCAGATCGTCGGCTTTGCGCTGTGGGACGTCCCAGTCCCAGCTGGTGCTGGCAGTTGTGAACCGCGCCAACCCCAAGAACCAGAACCTGCAGCACATCCGGGCCTAGACAAGTCCGCATTAGCTGAAATGCGACAGATTCTGGCAGACGATGCCCGCGCGCATTTCGGGGCCGAGATGAAAAGGAATGTGTGGCGTATGTGCACCTCACGCGGTTTAACTGCGAAGCCGGCAGACTAATACATGCATGCCTAGATCTTGATTATATTGCTGTGGACCCGCGTCATTGGCGGAGGGGTATTGGCAAGATGCTCTTGCAATGGGGCGTACAGCGGGCTGCAGCGGAAAAGAGAGACTGCTATCTGGTTGCTACGCCTGCTGGGCGTCCGCTATATGAAGCTGCTGGATTTACGGAATTGGCTACCCTACAGATCTTTGGTGTTCCTCACTTGTCAATGATCAAGAGGTATGGTCCTGCCTCGCGGTAGGTGGGCAAAAGGAGATGGGATAAAGAAACATTTGAAGAACCTCTGAAATCGTTTGCTGCAAAATTTGTAAACACCGCTCTTATCGTGACCTCGAGTATAGCTGCGTCTCTCAGCCACCCTGGTGATCAGGTAAGAACATAAGCCTGTGGGGGGAGGCAGCCCCACTGAGCCAAAAGATCCTTTTCTGCTTGCTCCACGAATCAAACCTGCCACATGGTGACCAGCCACTCACGGCAAACTACAGGAATACTAGCTGGACCCTAGTACTGAAATCTGCTATGTTGCATTCTGTAGTACGCTAGTTATATCAATCTAGGCTGCCATGCACTAAATGTGACTCAACCAGCTACTGAATTTAAATATAGATTAGGCCCTCCACAACTGAATCCGTACCATACCTGTTGATGAATTCATAATGTCTTCTCACTCGAGAGATGTGAAAGTCAAATTGACGTATCTCCAATGGCAGTCTATCTACGACCAAACACGACCATATCGCATCGTCCAGTTCGGCCGTAAAAAGAAACAAAACGCACAAAAGCCGACACACAATTTGATATTTCATAAAGGGGACATTGAAGAACTTATTCGAGATATTCGGGGGACAAAGGAGCAAGGCAGGGAGTTCAGCCTTCAAATGAATGGGTTCGTTTATCGCCATTATCCCTCATCATCAATGGGGCCGACAGATTTCTGGAGTACAGAAAAGGTCGAGAAGGTATTCTTGCCTGAATGCGAAGCTATTATAAGAAATGAGATCAAGGGAGTCGATAAGATTTACATCTTTGACTGGAAAGTAAACAAGCCGCATCTTACGTTTGGAATTCGTTTTTGATTCTTTGATAGTTGAGAAAGAAGAAAAGCGCAAAAGACCGACAATCTAAAAATCGACATTTGCTCAGTCGAGCTCGACAAGTCCATGTAGGTGAGTGATCTAAACAAACCTTGATTCCCCGAAACGTCGCCACCCTCGATCCATGCCAATACTAAATATGTCAAGACACGCTCCTCACTGTAGATCAACCCCAAACGCCTATGATGGAACGCATTCGCAATCATGTCCCTGAACATTCCCAGCACCTTCTCTCTGGCCGAGTGCAGATGATAAAGTGAGTGAAGAAGAAACAAAGCACACCGAGCTCTCTAGTCCTAACGGTCTTTTGTCCGTACTATTCTTCTACATGAGTGATAATGGCGATTTCATGAATGTACTGACTCGTCTGGTTAAAATTCTTATAGCGTCTGGCGCCCAATAAATGGCCCAGTTGAAGAATGTCCCATTGCTGTTTGTGATGGACGTTCCGTTGACATATCGAGGTTAATCGGGGCAGATATCACCCGCGGTCGCTATACAGGCACAATACAGTATCCACTATATGATTCAACAAAGCCGTTTCAGTGGTACTATATGAGTAGGCAGAGTGATAACGACGTGCTATTATTTAAGAGTTTTGACTCAAAGGAGGGGAGTGTGAAATGTAAGTGACATCAACCATCTACCCTATCCCAGTCATCCGATCTTGCCAACAAAAAGAGAGAAAGAAAGAAATGAAAACAAGGAATACATGATTAAAGGAGCATGGCCTAACGAAGAATATTACATTTGCTAGATGTCCCACATGCATCTTTTCCACTACCAAAGACACTCGATGAGGTGCATTCGAGGGAAAGTATTGAAGTTAGGGCTCTAGTCTTTTTGTACCCAACAATATAAGGGTCTGAATTTCCCAACCGGCTATAGATTTGTAATATATCTCTAGATTTTGCCTCGGTTATTCTGTGGATAGTAACATTTAAGATTCACAGATATCTTATGTATACCCAGAGTGTATATGCTCCTAGCCAAGTGTATATTGCCTTTGTTTAGAATAGTAACTTGGCTTAGCTCACATCCCTTATTCCATCATGAAGTGTAGCTCCATTGTTCCAAGGGAGAAATATCCTTATATATCTATGTGTTCCTACTCCTAGACCTACTCTGGGTGTATATTTAGGAGTAGATATACTTCTATATGTACCCTAGAGCAAGCGAGCTATTCTATTAGGTTGTAGACAACAATCCGCAATACTGTTATGATGTGTCTACCATGAAGCCATTCCTATATGTGGATGCCATCATTTGCAGGGGCCTAAAGATTTCGTTAGGACGGCAGCGTTTTTGTGAGCCATCAACCCTTTAGTGGCTTAGCTGAAGGGCCACCCTGCATTGGGACCACGTCAACAGGTTACACAACTTTGCATTTGCTATATGTTCCCATGTTCTGGTCCTCCCACCTCCTTCCCGTTTCGTTGAGAGACTGTGTATATAAGATTACATTATAAAGCTACAACAATAAAATATCACTGTAGGACAAAATGGATTTTATTCCAATAATATACTCTTTAAACACCTATAAAGGATTAGCAGATACACTATTCATCGCTAAAATACAGTTAAGCCCAGAAAGCACTATCCCGACCACAGATCTGGCAGTAAGTGTCGCTATTTTTAGCGGTCGCAACAGTAAGGGGTAATAGGTAGTGCGAGGTACCTTATGATTTGAGCCACCGCTGAGGGGTAGAGCTGCCAAGGATTCTGGGAAATTGCACTCAACTTTGACACAACAGGGGTGGGTTAATCAGTGAAGCAGGAGAGAGTACAATAGCTTCCATGGCAAGTGGTAAGTGCCAAGTGCCAGTTGCAAGTCTCAGGCTGGGGCGTCTCCCTCATCAAGATAAGCGCAGCCTCCATCTATAGGTCTTTCGGATAGCTTAGGATAAAACTTCAATCTGGTCCTTCCTTATCGAGTAAAATCACAGCGAGTATCTGACAGGGGTGCCGGATAAACAGAAAAATAGGCTAAATACTAATATATAGACACGTCTTACAGCTCATATGCATGCGTACCCCGGACTTGTTGGAGGCTGTGTAACCCCCCGGACTAGGGATATGGTCCAACCTCCCGAGCTATATATAAGGGTCGTAAGGGCGGCATAGCACAGACACATTACTACAAGTAGAGGTGAGCATGCGATCCTGGCTCGTGAACCTACTTATTTCACAGGAAATTAACCCATTGTCAGAGGAATAATTATGTTCCCAGCAGGCCAGCTGGTGCCTTCGGAAACCTCGCTTTATACAAGTCACCCACACTTCGGATCCATTAGTTCATCACATCCATTTTCCACAACGCTTGCTACCCCAACAATCTCCAGAACAGCATGATGGACATTGAATCAGAGCCTACGCGTCCTGCTGGGATAACCTCGGACGTAACTAACACCGAGGAAATTGAAGAGCCACCTGCACCTAAATATATGCAAGGATGGGCTCTCGCTTCTTTGACCTTGGCCTTTATGGCTATCTGCCTCGTGCTCGCTATTGATAATACCATTCTAGGTTCGTGCTTCACACAATCTGGCGGAGGGAGCATCAGACCTAATTGTCATACCAAGCGACGGCGATACCCCAGATCACCAGCGACTTCCACAGCCTTAACGACATCGGCTGGTATGGCTCTTCCTACTTGATCGCGCAGATGGCACTGCTGCCGACCTGCGGCCGCCTCTACGCATTCTATAATATTAAGTGGGTGTACTGCATCTCGCTGGCCGTCTTCGAAATCGGCTCCATCGTCTCGGCAGTCGCCCCGAATTCTGTGGCGCTTATCATAGGGCGAGCAGTCTCTGGCCTCGGCGCTGCTGGTTTGGTGAGCGGGACGACAACTATTATGTCCTATTGCGTGTCTTTGAAAAAGCAGGCGATGCTGTCGCCTATCGTCCTGGGCATGTACAACATTGGATCGGCTATCGGACCACTCGTGGGTGGTTCGATAACCGACAATAAGGTGCTGACTTGGCGGTTTATTTTCTGGATGAATCTCCGTAAGTCTCTGTCGACGAAGAAGCCCATATCCTCTCTCATAATCACTAGCTAAAAGTTTCAAGCCTTCGGCGCTGTTGGGCTTGTTCTGGTGTGGTTCGCCTTAAGGAAACCTCCACCGGCAGTGAAGGGGGACCTACCCTGGGCCCAGAAGCTACGTCAACTTGACTTTCTAGGGGCTACTCTGCTGCTCGGTGCAACATGTTGTTTGAACTTGGCATTACAGTGGGGTGGCATCGTCTACCCATGGTCTGATGCCAAGGTGTTCGGGTGCCTGATCGGATTCGGTCTACTCTTGATTACCTTCTTGTTCTTACAATACCGAGGCAAAGAAAAGTTAGTTCCTTCTTTTGCAATTTCAGTCCCTACTTGCATAGAGGCTACTTATTTCACCATGCTTGCTAACATCAAAATCCAAGCTCGAATATCCCCCTTCGCATCTTTCGAAGTCGTACCGTATCGGCATCATGCGGCTTCATGATGCTCGTTCAGGTGGCTATAGTAGTGCAATCGTACTTTTGGCCCATATACTTCCAGTCGGTCAGGAACACCAATGCCAGAGACTCGGGGATCAATCTACTCCCATTGATCGTGTCGAACAGCCTCGGCACGCTCTGCGCGGGCTCTATAGCGTCGAGATTCGGGCACTATGTGCCGTTCATGTGGGTTGGACCTCTCGTCTTGGCTACCGGAGGGGGTCTATATCAACTAGTCCGTGCCGACAGTCCGCTCGGACAGTGGGTAGGGTTTCAAATCCTGTCTGGGCTTGGCTATGGCATCTGTAGCCAAATGCCGATCCTGGCTGTGCAAGTTGTCCTCAGAAAGCCAGATATACCAACGGGACTTGTCATGATCATGTTTTTCCAGATACTTGGGGGCGCGCTGGCTCCTAGCGTTGGGCAGAACCTCTTCACTGATGGGCTACTGCAAAATCTCAGCAAGCTGCGGGGAATAGATGGTGCAGCCGTAGTGGCGGCCGGTGCAAGTGGTTTCAGGGAGATTGTTCCTCCCGAGCTGATCAATGCCGTCGTGGATGCATTTAATTCTGCTTTAAGGAACGTGTTCTGGGTGGCGCTTGCTACGCCAGCCCTTGCTTGGATAGCAAGCTGGGCAATGGAGTGGCGCCAATTGCCCGATTCTAAGAGACAGGTTACCCAAGCTCCAGCCGAGGAGGTCGCGGAGAAATAGCTTGATAGCAATGAAGCTCGAGGGGAGTTTGCCATGAGCCCAATTGGACAGTGAAGATGCCCGGCTCGTTGCATGGTAATCAATCTAGTACGAATCGAAGCAACAAGGCGGCGATCCATCGGGAATAAGAACGTGGAGGGCCCCAAACCTACGCTAGTACTTAACAAGAAACTCGCAATGGATGCTTGGGCAGATCTGCACTCCACCCACACCAAGGTGATGCTTATGCCGGTGACTAGAATTAGATGATAGGTAGAGGTCAGATTTGCTGCTGTGCGCCTAGTACTTTGGGGCAGTCTGATGGACCAGGGTGGTCAGGACTTCATGTCCACCTACCCTCTGGCGGGTTTATTAAAAGCACCTGCATAGCACTTGCAGTAGTAAGTGGGTATATTTACTCCACAGGATGCCTATTTACAAGCACTCTACAAGTCACTACATCACCCTTTTTAGATAGCGGCAAGGCAGGATGCCATCAGTTGGCTCATCTGTCCAATGGGTCGATAACGGGCTTATCTATGGTGCACGAATAGTTAGGTAAGTGGATATTATGCAACATATTCTTGTGTAAAGTCGTGAGTCACGAGTCATGTCCAGTCTAGGGGTTTCCATAATATTTAAATTATATGTCAGGATATGACTCATTGCCAGGATTATTATTAGTCACTATTGGGTTCTTACGGCGCAGTCATGATGCATATCTACTTTCACTTGGTGAAACATGGTCTAGCGAATTAGCTAGCAGTTAGGGCTCTCAATTTATTTCGGACTGAGCTGATTGGCTTCCTCGGGTCTTTTCAAGTTTTCAAACATTTCCTTTGTGAACAAGCTAAGTTACTAGTACTGTACATTTACCTAAACGCTCATAGCTTCGAGCAGGCATGTTTAATCAGTCATGTCTACAACAGTGATAATGTCTCTTAATGATCTGGCTTCTGATGTTACGTCAGGCTACTTAGTGCTGACCAGTTCATAGGTAACCAAGTAGATTATGCTTCAGTCCCTATTAATCGATATTTTTAACCCTAACTGGGGCAAGTATGGATGTCTTTATTCGTCGTAACATAATGATAAGGGTCCTCGGAATATGGGTTTAGCCCATGGTACACCATTGTGGTCGAGTATACGAATGTCAGACCGTGATCATGGGGGGTCTCACAGATAGTACATGTATTGGACGCATCATTAATTCCACCTTGAGGAAAAATGGTTGTAGAAATCCTTCTTAAAGCCTTACAGAATGCACGTCCAATCTTTCGTGGAATAAACTATGTCCAAGGCACATCTTGCGTTCGACTAACGCTCCTATGTCCAAACAAACGTGCTACAGCCGTTCTCGAAATCGCCAAGACCAATACACACTCAATCACTCTTTTCTGGCCCTGCCGCCAATGCCTTAGGGCAGGTCCATCATTGACCCGCGCATTAAATCGAGGACACCGTAATGTGCACGTTGTATGGTACTCCGTGTTGTATCTTGCTACAGAAAATTGCACAATGGTACGAGACTTCAGTGGAATCCCATGGAGACCTATACTGAATCCGTGCAAATCAGTTCGCGGACGATCTGCGAGGTGGCTTCAACTCCCTTTCTCAAGCCTTATGGCATGTCTGCCCTTTGCCGTCATCACTCCTGACAGGTGTCTCCTTTAGGGAATATCATGAGGCAGACGGCTGAACTACTCAAGTAGACTCTTCGGTTTTGGCACCATACTGGGTAACAAGCTTGCTACTGGCGCTACCCTTGGCGAACAGTCGAGTTAATAAGCCCCGCCCTCCTGTGATGCCAGAATCTTTATTGTCGGCAGCAGAGTTGGCATCAGGCGAGTCGTTCGGGATAGAGGTGGTGTCTAAAACGCGTTCCAAGGTAGACACAATGAGCGACTGATAAGTCCTCAGATCATCTTCGCTCAGTCTGCTATAGTAACCAGGCACGAAACCTCTGGTTACGTTCTGCTTCACCGTCCTGATCAAGCTCGAACGCACCTCCTCTATGAATTGACCGGTAGCAGCGTGACGCCTCTTCGCACGATGCTCGACTTTTTTGTTTATCACGTCCCTCATAGCATTGGCAAATTCGGTGACAGCGCTTGCACCGGCAGGCGTCAAGTATACCTGACTACCAGCTGCCACGGCAGCTGTCAGGCCGGCCACCGCTGACACACCCGCTTGGACGGTTTTAGCATAGTCATCGTCCTTGTTTTGCACATCATTGGCCACCGACATCAACGCGGCATGAATGATTACCAGTCGAATTGCATTCAATTCGAGATCGTTCTCAGCGTCTTGGACATCCGAGAGGAATGTGTATAGCTCTACCAACTTGCCGTGTTCCCCCGCAAGACGATAATAGTCACCTCTGTTGCTAGGCCGAATGTAGGCAATGAGCAAGTTTGTAGCTGCCGCTGAAAAATCTGACACATCCTGACGCTTCTTGAAAAGCTCCGTGATGAGATGACGGGTGGCTTCGACGCCAATAATATCACCAAGATCCTTGTTGCGAATTTCTTGCGACACTCGCATCGGATCGTTAAGGAAAATTTCCGTCGCCAAGGTTAACTGGCCCTTCAAGCGCATTGCCACTACGGCTGCAGTTACACCGTCCACAGTGCGACCAGGGATTATGCCGGACATGTTATACGAGATGAAGCGGCTAAACTTGTCCCATCTCCCTTCGGTGTTGAACGGCATGTTTGAGGCGTAAGTATGGATACTGTAGCGCCATGGTCGGAGACCGTTGTCAATCAAGTGTTTTAGTGCATCTGGCGATTGTGCGAATTCCTCAAGGTGGTCGCGAATTCGGAAGGTCCCTCTTTTGCTGGACGTCCAAGCTGTCCCTAGTCCTTCCTTCAACTTGTCCCAGTCTGAATTTAGCAGATCTCCTTGAACAATGTGCTTGTCCCTAGTGAAATATGGCCATTTTGTGGACAGGTAGCTGAGGCTGAACTTTTTAAATCCAAGGGTCCAACCGTCGGATCCCACGATGCCGTGCCTCTCGTAATTCTGGCCCTCACTTTGTAACTGGCAGCGTGTTGAGTATAAGTAGGGACTTAAATTGCGGTGCACGCTAGTTAAGCATTTGAGGGTGGTGAGCTGCTCATCCTCAGTCTTGACTTCTGGCGTGCCAAAAGCTTCCAAGACTTGGGCAACAAGGCCAGCAAACTGCTGCACACTTGCTATTTGGGCCAATAAAAGGGAGCTGTTTTGCTTGAAATCGTCCTGCATGCGGATGAGTTTTTCTCTGAACTCGTCATGCGACCGCAGAATGTTTAAAACTGTGGATAGTTCCAGTCGTGTTACTGTTAGGCGGGACTTGTTGGCGGCAATAACGCAGTCGTTAATGAAATGGGCATCAAGGGACTTTGCATTAATGACGTTATTCAGATGTTCTTCCGCCCCTCCAGCATTTTGAGTCGCAGCACGGAGTTGTTGTGTGCTGGCTGGTTGAAACCCTTCCAAAACAAGTCGAGCGGCTTGTGCTAGGGCGCGGAACGACTTTATTGTGAGTTCAAGCACTCCTTCAACATCATCGACAAATTTAACCAAATTTTTGTCAATCGGTTTACTGGCTCTTTTTGCTTGTTTCCTGTCTCGTTTTGCTTGTTTCCCGTCTCGTTTTGCTAGTTTTCTGTCTCGTTTTGCTTGTTTCCTGTCTCGTTTTGCTTGTTNGTCTCGTTTTGCTTGTTTCCTGTCTCGTTTTGCTTGTTTCCTGTCTCGTTTTGCTTGTTTCCTGTCTCGTTTTGCTTGTTTCCTGTCTCGTTTTGATTTTCCAACTTCAGACTGCAGAGTTTCGAAAGACTCAATCAGCGAGTCGACGACTGTTGAGGAGGTCGAGAGCCCATAGCCAATTTGGCGTAGAACGCTGTCAAGTAATTCGACCCCTGTATCATCAATAGTGACCGAGGGGATTCCTTTGTGGATCCCAGCCGGGACGTCCACATCACAACCACCATCACGAACTTTTATAACACACGAGCAATTATCAAGAATTTGCTGCAGTGCGTCAAAGGCGTCAACGGTTTCATTGGCGAGCGCGCCTACGCTGCCGCTCGGCCAAAACCCTCCAGACCGGAGGGCCAAGCCCAAACTCACATTATCGGGTCGCATATCCTCCAACGACCGTAAGCGTTTCACATCAAGCACCATCTGCTCTTTTTTTGGTGGGATAGTGACCTTGAATTTTTCGCACATGGCCGTACAAGCTTGGGCAAGAGTCTGGTCATTTGTTTGACGGACTAATCTCAGTTCACGTGTGAGGATGGCAAGCATCGTACCGATTGTCTTCATAGCGTCGAATTCTTTTGGGTGGGTTGGGTCCGGCTGCGCAATATCATTGTAGTAACCGTCAAGACCCTCTTGGTATGTACGCATAAAGTCGGTGGCAACTTGATGAATCTCGTGGATATCCTGCTCATCGGACAACGATTTCTCAAGGTAATCGATCCAGTTGTCAATTTCGGAAACGATGACCACAAATGTCTGTTTAGAACTCTGCCCCTGGCTGAGAAGCTCTGTCTTTGTCAAAATTTCGAAGGCTTGCATGGCAGCTTCCCCAACTACAGCGGTAGCATGCTCTCTTAACTCCAAGCCCAGCCTCGTCACGTCACGATGAGCCGTATCAAAGCCATTTACGTCGCCAGCCTCCAGTGCTTGTGCTGCATACGCCGCCTTTTCTGCCGCGAGAGCAGCTTTCCGGCTTACGGCGCTCAACGGTACTGCGATACGCGCATCTTGCGCCAGATGGTTGGCAGCAAATGCCGCATTCTTGGCCTTCTGAGCAAGTTGGCTGCCTTTATCTGTCGTGACCTTTGCCCCTAAAGTACGGTCGCGCAGGTCACGAAGAACTGCCTCATAGCCTGTGACGTTAACGAGAAGTCCGCTGTTGTCGCAGCCTATGCGCGCTATTCGTATATGGTTCTGTAGCATCTCGATGGTCTCCTGGAGATGTGCGGCTTCGGCAGTTGCCAAACTCTGGGACCTTTTGAGCTCGTCGCAATATCCCTTCATTGTGTTTTGAGCTATGTTAAGCTTTCGTTGTGCTTCATCTGCATCCTTTGCCTTGGTAAGAATGCCCACCATCGCAAATAAAGCGTCGTTTGTCGCCATGGCCATCTTCTGGACAGACTTTAGATTTGGGTTTCGAGGGGGGTCAAAATTGGTGACGTGGTTGTCCACGAAAACCGACAGCCTGCACTGGGCAAGGGTCATCATATCCTGCAATGTCTGGCCTGCGATACCGGTGGCAGTCTCGCGCATTCGGGCCACTTGATCGCGCATTCGCGCCACTTGATCGCGCCTTCGGAGTAATTGGTATTCAGGTAGGGTCAATTGATCGATAAATAGAGCATAGTCGATTTGTCGGTTGAGATTTCGAGGTTGAACCGCGAGGGCCTCGCGATCTTCCTCGACAGATCGCAAATCATGGATGCATTTTGCCCCCTCGAGGGGGACTCCTTTCACCCTGGCATCGAAAACTCCGAGATAAGCGTCAGCTTCGCGGGTATCGATTATCACCTTAACGGCTTTTGTTAACCTTCTGTCCCGACTATTTGAATTTTGCACCGAGTTCAGCCGATCTTGAATGCTTTGTATGAGGCTATCGAGATGCGCTGCCATTTCAGTCAAAGGAACTGTCCTGAATAGAAAAAGTGGATCTTTGATTAAGATGTGTTGTTTTAGTGCCGCCCTGCCAAGTAGAAGGGAGATGTGACTTGACGAAACGGCAGCTACTGAGATTCTGAGTCTCCCAAACACAATATAAATTGTACGTGTCTTGTCATTATTATGACAAAAGTGTGATCCTAAGATCTTGGACAAAGTATCCTTCGGAGCCCTGGTCTTAATTCAAGTGAGGATTCTAACATCATATCGCCCAAGTATCCTTGGGTTGGAACTTCTAGATCGTGATCGATCCGCAGAGATGGGACAAGTCTGAATCAACCTTACGCATCGCCCGTACAATGCAGTGGCTGGGTATCCCAAAGCAACGCCCTATAAGGTGATCTGGTGATCTAGCTTAAACTAAGAGCCCTCCTAAAAAGTTACCGCGATTCTAATATTTCCGAGATTGCTCATTTGCTGCCTGCGACATTTATTATTTAATGAGGAGGAGCACATGGCCATGCTTGTCTGGATACCATGTGGGGCTAATTATTTGCAGCGTGGTCGAGACCAGGCTTTTATCCGTTTGCAGTACTGTAACCGACCAACAAGCAGATAGAGCCTTGAATGAAATTTTGAGACACAGAACTCTAATACAGTACAGGATATATGGCTGCATGCCTGGGAACTGGGCGTACCTGTGTATATTGGTCAAGGCGATTTCGAGACCAACTGTATGGCTTATCGTCTGGAAATTGCCTACTCCAGCTCTGCTCACTCCTTCCTCTTCGCCTGCAAATACGCCTCCTGGCTCTGCTTCACCAGCCTCCGCTTCTCCGCAGCTTCCTCCTCAGTCGGTTTTGTCGGCAGGATTCCCGGCGCCGGATGGAATAGAACTTCTCGACTTGTAACCTTTGTACCGTCCACATCACGGAAGCCCTCTTTTTGGATTATCTCGGGAGGGAAACGAGCCAGAGCATTCTTGATCTGCTCGGGGTTCAGGCCGCGCGCGTCGAGGACCTCGTAGTCGGCTGAGAGGGTACGCAGGACGCCGTCCCTGCCAAGGTGGGTGATTCCCCCGCCTGAGGGATCGCACTTCATGTCTTTGACGAAGTCGGGGAGGATCTGGATTATCAGTTAGCTTGTGTACTGGATACTAGGCTTACCATGGTAGGGCTGGTGCATCTCGCTCAGACTTTTGCTTACCTTGCAGCTCATGTTGAAGTTCAGTATAGTATCAGTGTCAGAATCGGTATGTTTGGTGACTAGTGTTATCTCAACGGATGTCAATTTCATTGATATATTTCTCAATGAGCCTTGCCAAGCAAGAGCGAGAGGCTGTTGCCTACTTCTTGAGGCCTGTAGTTTGGTTGGGTGGCGATTTTGGCCTAAACTAGGTGGTTCACAAAGATTAACTAACTAGGTAGTCAAGCACTAAGTCCGCCTGTAATAACACTATTCCAAGGATCAAGCACAGCCTCGTGGGTTCACAGTCCCACATTCCTGTCATCTGTGGGTGCACTGGGGCTATGACTAGCCCAACGCTTAGCCCCGGCGTCCTGCAGTTGGCTTGGGCCCATCCTTGTTATATTCCTAGTATAGCTTCCTAAGTTATTTATAACCCTGTTAGAGGCATCCAGTAAGCCTTAAAGACATATATATGGAATCTGGGCATGATTGACCATAGGGGGTCAATCATAGGAGGTCTTTTGCCTCAGTGGTTAACCTTTTGCAGCCCAGCGCAAGGTTCTCACATTTTACCGGTATTTGAGGGATGGATCACAGTCACTTTGTCAAGTCCACAATCGAGCAGATTCTAGAGACACGGTTTTACCAGGATGGTTGGACCTCATACATTTTTCCAGATGGCCCAAGGTCAGGCTTCAGGAAAGTTTAGGACACTCGTACATCAATATACAGCCTTGAGATAGTCCCAGCTCGCCCTTGACTATGTGGCTTTATCATAACTTCGTGCCTACTTATTCCGAAGGTACTCCCACCCTATGGTGAACAATCACATTAAATCGCTAAAGACATGAGCAACATTTTCTTGGTAAAAGTTCCATGTCTAACAGGACAAGTTCTTCGCGTAAGTCTTCCAAACTAGTGTATGCTGTTCGAATTCATTCAGCGCCGGTCTCTTTCGTTGTGTTCCCGGCTTTACGCCCCCGATAAAATACTCAGCGAATTTTCTAGCCCGGAGACACTGTTGGATGACTTTAGCCTTTGCTGCCCAGCATTGAGAGGGACAGACTGTGAAGGTTTAGTTCTCAAAGTCAAGTAAGGGCGGAGAGGGGGGAGACAAGCAACTATCAGCCCTGTAAGAATGTCAAGTGCACACCACAGTTCAAGCGTCGTAGTTGGGACATTTGGGTATGTAATGAGAACAATAATAAACCTCCCTAGGCAGGCACCTATACTGAAAATTCCGAACCCAAATGTGACGTAAAGAGCAATCTTTCTCTTTCAGGATAGCCGGAGAATGCGTAGAATAAAAAATGGCAAGCAGAAAACAAATATCGGAGGAGAAGTGAAGAGCCCAAGTGGAAGTCCAGATGATAAACGAGTTTTTGGCGCTGCAAAGGCCATGATTATTCCTAGCATCTGTCAAATACCATTGTAGAAGGCGTGCTTGATTAATGATTCTCTACTTACTCGCTCGGTGCTTTTGGCAGACAGATTAGAAGGACAATCAGAACTGATATAATATATGACACTATCGAGAAGATAGCAACAGTCCAGAGAGAATATTGGAATGTCCTCAGTGCAGAAGGGAATATATGATTAAAAAAAGAGAGAAGGGCGGCTTTATTAAGATACTGTACCATAAAGAGTGGAAACCATGGCATGAACGCTATCTATTAAGATGTTAGATGCGCTGTTGGATTCCGTATCATGTAAATAACATTTACCTTCATCGTCAACTCGGTATCGGGTGTGTGGGACTGGAAGTCAACCCAAGTAGTTGCTGGATTTAACCATCCTAACTTCTTTAATCGAATGTCAAGCACTGCCCCCCATATGCCGCATAACCATGCAAGACATATACAATAGTCGCTTAGTAGGGGCCTTTTCAGCTGAATGTGTAGCCTAAGGTAAAGACGAGCGAGAACCAGAGCGAGACAAACCCCCAGTAACGCCCACTCCACGGCCTAAAAGCGGTCAAAATCAAGCAAGTAGATTCAAGGTTTATCTGGGCTTAACGTACAATGACCGTCTCAGAACTAACTGCGCCCATCGAGTCAAGGAAGGGTCGTCTTGTGCAGGTAGCTTAACCATGGGGATTTGACCTCCATGTGCAACTTTCGAAGAGCGCCAGGCTGTTGTGTTTGTCAGCGAGGGAATAGCAACGCCGTTCTAGGCAAGCAGCCCACAGCCCACAAGTGAGAGAAATGGCAATAGGGTTGGTTCAATTTTGACACTGTATAAATTTTTTGAGAATGAATGTGTTGTTGAGCTTCTACGGGAGGAGAATCACTTTTCCTTTTGGTTCTGACGCCGATTTCGTCAAGCACTTCTAAAAGTTAAACCTTCCAATTATGAGGTGGCGCTCGCCCTTCGGGCCCCGCGGCTCCGCGGAGCCGACAGTCAACCACGTACGCTGGAGAAGAGGCCACAATAAGAGCTTTCTCGCTAACTCCCTTTGGGTTTAATAATACGCGCTCTACAATATTCATTGACTCTGATTTTAAATCCGAAAATGCGCTAAGATTGGACTGGTCCATTGTTATGGGTTAACTGGGAAGTCCCGAATCCGTCGCCGGGAACGCAATCAGGCGGATGACATCGGCAGGGCTCTGTAATCACAATTAACCCAGGGGCCACCCAGTCAGGCGCTACAGATCATTTGTCACATAATTGTTCAAACAAACAAGAAAAACACAATCTTCACTATGATAAGATTCACTTCATCATCCCCTAAAAATTATGTATAGAAGCCAGCTAATCATGCTATCCTTGACATTATACTTCACGCACGGCAAAGGATGAACTCCTCAAAGCAGACCAAGTGTACACTTCAGAGCTATTTAATGCGGCATCAAGAAATTCAAGAAATAATCTGGCCTTGGATTCCTAAACATATTGGCACCCAGTACATTCTACCTGCGAGCCACTGAGTTGATTAAGTGCCGATCCGTCCAACAACGAGATGGAACCTTGTTCTCCCTATGCGATATGCTCCCACGTGATACAGCTTTCCTAGAGCATCTTCTTTAGCCACTCCTTCAATGCTTTCCCTTGCTTCGTCTCAATCTTCGATCCGACATAAAGATCAAACACCGGCGCGACATGAGCCTCGCGTTCTCCGATAAACAGCTCTACCGAAGGAAAAGCCATCTTTTTGCAGTTAGTCCATCTGGTTCTGTATCTCATAGAACTTGAAACGGGTGCAATACCTGGACTTTTGCCACAAAACCTTCAATCATAGACCTCATAATCTCATTACCTCCTCCCAGGACCAGTATCTCTTTGACCAGCAGGTTTTCGAACCAGCTAGACGGAGCATTGGACGGATCACTGTAGTAGTCTCTCTCGGCGTCGCCAAGATATGCACTTGACCACGGACCTGCAACTTGCGTCGTGATCAAATCCCCGATGTTGTTGAATACCCCAACAGGGTTAGCATCCAGAGAAGTCCAGGGCGAGATCAGCATGACGCCGGCTAGTGGCTCCTCCAGATTCAGGGCCGGGATGGCAGGATGAGGATGAGAAAGGTGCGACAGCAAACCTACGGCCAGGTTTCCCCCAGCAGAGTCTCCGCCAACGAACACGTCCAGTGGGCTGCGGTGTGTTTGCATCACAATATACCGTAATGCCTCAACCGCCTGACTCAGTTGTTTTGGGTACCGTGCATGTGGGGCCAGAGTGTAGGAGAGCGCAAAAACTGCTAGGTCATGGCTAGAAGCTCCAGTAGACTGGACCAATTGTTCGAAGAACTTGAAGTAGCCCATGTTGGCTGGTAAACAGAATCCGCCTCCTGGATTCGGGTTCGCATCACTGCAGCCAAAGGGGAGGGGGAAGGACTATTTCACAACATTGATATACGTACCGTGATACCAGACAAGCACTTTCTTCGCATTTTTATTCCCAAGCCAGTGACCTTTGGCATCGTTGCCCAAATCCACGCTCTGAGGAGTCTGCCGCGCCGACTGCATATATTGCAGGTAGGTGGCCTCTGTCGACGGGGAAACTAGTCTATCGCAGTTTAGCAACTTCACTCCGACGGTAAGGAAATGCATACTGTAGTTGAAGCGGCGACAGGCGAGCTGTCGCCTTCCGCAAAATGGCGTAGGCGATATGAAGGTGGAGGCTCGGTGCCCCCTTCTTACCTCGAACAAGGCCTGAAAAGAGCGATATAAAACCAACAGACAAGATTGAGACAAGTGCGGGGAGCATATCAATCTTCTGTATGAGAGACAGCCGCGTTGCGGAGGCAGCTGGCTTTGCAGCTCTGGACATCTTGCGTTTTTGATTCTTTCCTCCAAGCTAATCGTAAAAGCTAAAAGAATATTTCCTGCTGGTACATTGAAACAAGAACCTCCTTCATGGCATAGCATGTATGTTATTAGGAAAAGAGGCTATGGTTACAACCTCAGTCCTTATCTAGAATCAGACGGCCCTTTATTATTTCCGCAATTGATGACGGGGCAGAATACTTTACTTACTGGAGACCCAAACGCTATGACACCCGATGAGACTGCGGCTGGGTTTGCGGATTTACGATGGTTTTGCCGGCGGTTCTACTGCCTATTCCGCAGCGGCAGCGGCAGCGCATTGAGTTTTGAGTCGTGCATCATCGCTATTCTTTGATCCCTTGCGGAATCACGAGATGGAGGAACCGAATTAAAGGTTCGGCAGCGAGTTAATCGTGCGGAAGCGCCTGCCCTTGGGGATCCGCAATATACTGGCACGCAGCGTTTTCCTTTTCGGATCGTTCTGTGGGGAAGTAATCCTCATTTGCAGAGAAAGTCTCTCATTTGCTTGGCAAACACTAACTTGTATAACAGCCTTCGCAGATATGATTGGCAATAGAACATCCCTCTCGGCTTTCTACCAACAGAAATGAACTAAACAAAACCCGCTAAAGACATTTTCCCAGTTATCCTGTCCCGAATGGCTATCATGAGACTCGGGTTAGAAGTTAAAAATCCATCTTCGAATGCATCTTGAACTTCGATCCTGAAGACGTTATACTCCAGTAGTGACTGAGTAATCAGCAGTGGCATAGGTTTCAGCGCCTCAGGGCAGCTCTCAACCCATGACTTTTTCAGGGGCAACCTCCCGTTGAAAGTCGCTATCAAGCGCATCATACTCCGCAATCTTGCGCTGTTATCAAAATATGGTCTACTAAATTGCCGCACTCTCGTATAGACGGCAGAAGATTATGTTATTGGAGACATGGAATTGTGTGAGGCAACGGTTTCGTTGTTCAGATTGATAGCCACAGGTCCGTCCGCTTGGTATGGATGTGGGGCTGGATTCGAGATGAGATAAAGACAAGGCAGGATCTCGAAGCATGACACGGATCCTTTGTTCTGAATCATCCGTTGGCGGAGGGCGTGGCAACAAGAACTCTAAATTGATACTACCGAAGTCGACTCCTTCGACGAATTAGCGGTGACTCGCTGCTTGGACGTGGAGGTCGATGAATTGGGAACGACCGGGGTTCCCAGACCCTCTGCGACGTGCTCTTCGAGAGTTCATGATGGACTCCTCTCCCGGGATCGATGAGGAGACGGGACGTGTACGCCCGGAGCCGAATGTCCGGGAGTTCAAAGGTTGTAAACTGCGTGGTGCTTTGTACGGCGTAGTTTCCGCAGGACAATCGAAGATTCCTACTAAAGTACGTCTCTGTCTCCGCAAGAATGTTTCCCAGGCCGTGAATCGCTGCCAGCTTCAAAGGAGTCTGGTATACCCCGTGCGTCTGGGTGGCCAGAGGAGTTGCCCAACCCGACAGCAGCTGCGGTTCCGCAATGGGCGGACCGGATGCCGGGATATGCCATTGACCGGTTGGAAAGGGTAAGGGAAAGCGCGGGGTAGGGTGCAGAGATGATAACCGGAAGCTTGATGCAAAGTTTATCTCTCTAGCTGCATATAACCGTCCTGGAAAGCTGATTTAGGATGACAACTATAACTGCCAGGCCAGCGGCTAACTACGTACTCGGCTCTGTCTGAAGCACCCAATACCGATTCATTCCTGCCTCTTTTGATCTCTTGTTCAAATTTGCAATATGCCAGACTGCCCTGAAAAGATCCACGATCAGGAACCACTTCCCTGGGCAGATTTACAGTCCCTAGATGCCGCTTCCTTGGAGCTTGATTTTCCAGATGGAGGATGCAAAGCCTGGCTCACAGTGGCCGGTGGCATGCTGGCGCAGATATCAAGCATTGGATTTTTGAGCGCCTTCTCCGTGTTTCAGAGCTATTATAGCCAGGTCACACTTCCCAACTCGAGCGCCAGTGATATCTCCTGGATTGGCAGCCTGCAGATTTTTGGTTGCTTCTTCCTGGGATTATGGGCCGGCAGGCTGTCCGACAAGCGAGGGCCCAAGGTGCCTCTCGGCTTGGGCACGTTTTTCATGGTCTTTGGAACGATGATGGCGTCGATTTCATCCTCGTATTATCAATTAGTCCTTTCTCAAGGGGTCTGCTGCGCCATCGGTTTTGGGCTGGTGTTCACCCCAGCCCTGGCGGTTCAATCTCAATGGTTCCTAAGAAAACGCGGATTCGTCGTCGGTCTGGTCATGTCCGGCCAAAATATCGGTGGTGAGTGAAATTTTTCCGACTAAGTTCTTTTGGTACCGCAAACAAAAAGCCATTGCTAAATACACCCATTCTTTTAGGCGTCATCTGGCCAATCGTCGTGGACAGGCTCATCAACACTTGCAGAGTTTCACTGGGTTGGACCCTGCGAGCCATTGGCTTCATGCAACTTTTCCTTATGGTGGCCGCCACATTGATGGTTCACCCACGATTTCCTAAGCTTCCTCGAGAGCCCATTCCAGTGAAACAATTCCTGACCGATAAACGAACCCTCCTTTTTACGTGCTCCACGTTGGTATTCTTCTTTGGGATCTACATTCCTTATGTGTGTACTCGGATGCTCGATTTCAATTACGTTGAACTAACTTTCTCTCATGTAAAGTTTTACATCACTCCCTACGCTATGCAATGGGGTGCGTCTCTCAACTTAGCGTTCTACATGCCTTCGATCTTGAACGCTGGCGCTTTTTTTGGTTGCTACATTCTCGGCGTTGCATCCGACCACGGGCTGGGCCCCTTTAATGCACTTACAGCGGTAGCCATCAGCTGCGCTTTCACGGCCTTTAGCTGGATTGCAGCGAAGCATAATGCAGGTATTATTGGATGGAGTATCATTTACGGATTCCTCTCGGGCGCCCTCCAAGCGCTTTTTTCGCCATGCGTCTCCCACTTGGCACCAAAGCCAGGATTGATCGGTACATGGAACGGTAAGCCTATAGTCCATTTGTGGGGCTCTAAGCATTCCAGAAGTTTAACTGTGCCCTAACTTCATTTGAATAGGACTCTGTATCAGCATAGTTTCATTTGCTGTTCTCGGCATGGGACCAATCGCTGGAAAGCTGTTGGACAATACGGGTGACACCAACTATCTCCCCATGCAACTGTTTACTGGAGTATTCTTGGTTTCGGCTAGCTGTCTGTATCTTATTACCCGCCTTCTCGTTTCTCGGAAGGCTGTCGCTTGACCGAGACAGCAAGTGATCACCCGCCGGCCACGTTGACAATTACGTCCAATATTTTACTAGCTTAGTATCTCAAGACGTTCATGTCATACTCGCTCCACTTTGGTTATCAGGAAAGATTAGATGTGATGAGAAACTACAGACGATATCTCATGTTCAGCCTTATAGCACAGGGTCACGGGGCCAAGAAAATGAAACAGTGAAACCAAACAATGATTGAAAGCGCGTGCACAGATTACATGTTTCTATACACTCTTCTATGACGCTGCGCGTGAGCTCTTAGACACGTTAACGAAAAGCGTATGGCATGGTTACATACTGATCAACTGTGCAATAAGGTTTGCTGGCCTGTTCCATGATCCATTCCTGGGCAGCCCTAGTCAACGCCCTGCCGGACCTTAGCTACTCAGAACACAAGGCCAATGATCATACAGAATCAGGGATTGACAACGTCATTTTTGTTACTTGTTAGATCCTATCTGGAAGTGACGAGTATAGTATGCTAATGAAATGGGAAAAGATGTGTAGACAGAACTGATCGAAAGCCAAACATACCGCCTCACTGCGGCGCCAATACCAATTCAGATATAGTCTCTTCAATATTGCACTCATTTTACAGTCGTGATTTGGCTTCAGCGCCAACCTCAAGCAGATGAGCGAGCTCATTCTGCGGGATACCTACACGGATAAGAGATTTGTAGAAGGCCTGGGGTTCAACCCAGTCCTCGGGGGCAAAAACCCCGCTAAGCTTGGAACTATCCTCTAGTGCCTGAATCATAAACGCGGAACAAGCACCCCCAGTGATAGCAGCCATATTTTTGAAAAGGACAGAGCCCTCACCACACGGGCCTGTGCGCTTCGTTTGAACGACCGGCATGCCATTGCGAGTACCAGCGACCCGCACAGTTAGGCCTGCGCAGTACGGTCCGATCTTCCCGCGAGCAGAGTCAAGAAGGAAGCTGAGCACATCTCCAGAGGTACATTCACCTGTCTTAATCTGGTCAAGCATTCCGCAGATAGCGTGGCGCCATGGTCCAAGGGCGCTGGCGGTGTGGGCGATGATCTGCCACAGCTCCTTGAGTGAGATGTCGCCGCCACGGAAGTATCCAGTGGCCTCACCCATAGCGGCCTGCCAGCCCTCCATGGGGGTAGGGTTGTTAATCAGATTCAGCAGGAAACCAACGGCCTCATCAAGAGTGATTTGTTGGCTCCGCACAGCGACACCGAGGCCCCGGGCAACGCCATTAAATGGTGCAGGGTGCAGGCCACCAAGGCAGCGGATGCGGCCGGCGTTGGGAAAGAGGCGTGGGAGGGTCACAGGCTCGGGGTGGGCCGTTTCGTGGAGGAGCGTCTCTCCGTGGTCACCATACATTGGGGCATAACCGGTCTCAACCCACGATTCATTGACAATGGCTTTTCCATTCGCCCAGGTAAGGCAGGGGCCGGCAGCAATGTGCATCAGGTGCTCGAGAACGGCCTTCCCAATACCAGGTCGCTCGTCACCAACTAGCCAGCAAACATCAATCGAATCCACCTTCTCAATTCCCTGGGCAGCATCGACGGCCATTACATTCGTCATTCCGGGCGAGGCACCGCAGCCAATAAAGCACGGCACGCCGGCGGCCTTTGCCTTCTCGTGCAAGGCGAGAGCTGCAGTCGTGCTCTCCACATCATCATCGAAATCGAGGTAAGGAACTCTGTTCTCAAGACAGGCTGTGAGCACGGGTTCGCTGGTCTTGGCATATGGACCGGCGCCGAGGACGACAAGCGACGCGCCATCGGTGGCGGCGAGTAGTGCAGGACGATCATAGAGATCCAGCTTCAGAACAGTTGCCCGTCCCACAGGGAGTGTAGCCTCCAGCGGCGCAATGGCAGCCACATTAATGTCGGCGAGGACGAGCGGGATGTCCGTGGCTGCCGCGAAGCGCTCGACGGCAATACGGCACATCTCGCCAGCCGCCCCGATGAAGACGACCCGCTTAGGCTTGGAGAAGAGGTTATTCATAGTGAATAATGGTTTGTAACAGGACCAGGTAATAATTGAAGACTTTTGGCAAGGAAGAGGTGTTTAGGCAGGACCGACAAGCAAAAATAGGCCTGCGTCGTTGGTTTTATATCCGACCCCATCGACAATGGGCCTCCCCGAGCAACTGTTCTTCCCTAGTATGGCACAAATAGCGGCTGCCGCAAATTCACAGATCTTACCCCACACATCCATGTTATGTTCGAAGCGACCACCACGACTTTCCGGCATGAATCCTTCCGCGTGTGTGGGCGCTTCCGTGGTAATACAAATGTGACGAGTTTCTATTGTTCAGCGGCTCCGCTGTACGCAGCGCCCCGCAAATCAGTCCGATTCCGCGGGTCCGTAAATTCAATATGAGGTTGATCAGATGGTCAAAGTACGTATTGAAATGGAATATCTCTATCTCATAACTTGACCGGAGTTCACTAACTGTCAGTCCTTTCCCAACGCTGTTATGGAGATGGTTGCCTTCCGCATTGTGGTTTAAATCTGGTTCTTGGATTCCAACTTTCGTACCTGAAAAGGCCCTTGGAAAGGCAAGTTCAGTTTCTCATTTTCCTACATTCCCAGGATAGACATTACCGTCGAGCGGAAGGGTCGACCCGTACATCACCAAACAAGTGACATTGAAGACCGGACCGCCCCTTCAAATTGGTAGGCTCGGTGAAAGCCACAGACGAACACTTCCTTTTTCGTGAGAGAAAAAGAACAAAAAAGAGCTGTTACGATGGATGCAAAGCAGCAAGACGTGGATTACGATGTCATCATCATCGGCGCTGGGATCTCCGGCATCAACTTTGCCTACCGCTTGCAAGAACGCAATCCGGAATTGAGCTATTGCATCTTGGAGGAACGCCATGAAATTGGGGGCACATGGAGTTTGTTTCAATACCCTGGTGAGCTCGAGTCAGCGGAGGATCTTCCTCAAAAACCGATCACTAATTTCGCTCCCCCAGGCATCCGATCAGATTCAGATCTGTTCACTTTTGGGTTCTCATGGCGGCCCTGGACGAAGACGCACTCGATCGCGCACGGTTCGTTGATTGCCGAATACGTGCGAAACTGCGCAGCAGAAGAAGGCATCGACAAGAAGATTAAATTTCACCATCGAGTAAATCAGATGTCCTGGTCTACCGAGCTCAAGACCTGGAGTCTGGATCTGACCGTGGACAAAACAACTTCCTGCAACCTCCAGAGCCGGTTCATCCTCTTGGGGACGGGGTACTACGACTATCACCAAGCGCTTCCAGCTGATATTCCCGGAATTCAGAATTTCACGGGAACACTGGTACACCCACAGTACTGGCCTGAGGATCTTGACTACAAGGACAAGGAGGTCGTTATCATCGGCTCTGGTGCGACAGCCATAACATTGCTTCCGAACATTGCAAAGGAGGCAAGGCATGTGACGATGCTGCAACGCTCCCCAAGCTATATTCTGTCAGTCTCGAGCGAGGACGTCGTCGAGAAATTGATTCGACTTCTGCTCCCAAAGGTGTTGGCCGTGAAACTCATTCGATTCAAATGGATTTTTGTCCCACTTGTGTTGGTGAATTTCTGCCGGCGTTTTCCTCGTCTGGCTCGGAAATTGCTGATGGTATTAACCGCCAGAGAACTCCCCAGACACATGTCCTTGAAACCCAACTTCGCGCCCAATTATAAGCCCTGGGAGCAGCGGCTGTGTATGTGCCCAGAGTCCGATTTCTATGAAAGCATTCGGAACGGCAAAGCTGACGTGAGAACGGGGGTGATTGAGAATGTTACCGGTACGAGTATTCGCCTCAAATCAGGTGACGAGCTGCATCCCGACATCATTGTCACGGCCACTGGCCTCAAGTTGTGCATCGCTGGTGGCATTAAGATCTTTGTCGACGGCTTACAGTACCACATTGGCGACAACTACCTCTGGAAGTTTGCGATGATGGATAACCTTCCGAACGCTGTGTTTGCATTCGGTTATATTGACGCTAGCTGGACTCTCGGGGCCGATGTCACTGCTAAATTGGCATGCCGGTTGCTAAGGAAGATGAAGAAGGACTGCGCTACGATGGTGGTGCCACGAATGGGTGCCGAGGAAAAGAAGAAAATCAAAAAATTGCCGTTCCTAGACTTGAAGTCTACCTATGTCCGAGAAGCGCAGAACACCCTGCCACATGTGGGTGACCGCTCTGTCTGGCAGCCAAGGTCTTACTATTGGAGGGATCTTACCGTGGCCCTGTACGGGAGCCTTCAGAGAGGCTTGGAGTGGACATGAGCGTGCGCTTGCTTTCGGGAGCCGATATGTTCGTACAGTCTGTTTTCAAGTGATTTTTTCCTTCAAGGACCAGCCTCAAGTTACGATGATGACACGTAGAACCCTTTTATGACACTGTGCCTCTCTGTATCTCAGTAGACGAAGGTCTTAAGTGCTTTTACTTTGCCAAATAGTTCGAATCCGTGGAGAGTTGTACAGAAGTTGTTCCAAATCCTAATCTCCAACCTCATATCACTCGTACCCTGCGTACATCTCCCGTAGTGATCGACGTTCTTTTTCGGACGTTTGTCGTCTCCCCATCAACCTACCTTCGCCCATGGTTCCGACAATTATTAATTACATGAACTCTGACCTGGACAAGGGTATATTTCTGATGTGTTTTCGTTTGCTGTACTTTACGGGCCCACTCCTTGACGTTATGTCACTACTTGATCAATAGCCATAATTTCTCGGATAATAATACCAACTTTGTTACTTCTTTGTCATCTGGTGTGACTCACAAGACCAATCGGACCATAAGAGGAAGGCTATTTAAAATGGGTAGACTTGTATCTCTATTGAATTGAGGTAAGTATGTAGATGGCATCCTGAGTGTTACTCTTCACCAAGAGCAGGGTGATTCAGCGCAACCCACCCAATCTCCCTAATATTCCACGGGGAACCTCGGCTTATCCACAATCCCTGAGCCCATAAGATGCCAATACTAATCTTTCAAGTTATTGAGACCCTTTCCACAGCGATCTCCTGGCTACTTTTCCAATCAGTCATCTCAACTTACTCTCTCTGTACGAGAACGTAGAATAGCCTCACATTCAAAATCATAGGTATAACTTTAGATAACAATCAGGGAGCCGCACACCTGGATGGGAGGCCGATGTCGCATCTTACAGGCGAAAGCTTCTCGTCTTTGCAGTGGATAGTACAGCAGCGGTGTCGCGAGCAGCAGCAGCAGCCGACGCCATAGCGCCCTCGATGGAGCCAACGTCAAGGGCCGCAATGTCACCGCCACAGAAGCGGATGCGACCATGACCCTGGCGAATGTGAGCTGCGCCACCGGTCATATGCCCGGGCCGGTGCATCATCCAGCCGCCCTTGGAGAATTCATCCTCGACCCAGCTGTGGGAGGCTATTTCGATCACTTCGATGCCAGGAACGAATTTCCGCAGCGCATTCTGCACCGCCACTTGATCATCTCCACGAATTGCGGCCGCGTCGGAGCAAATGCACATGATGAGTGTATCGCCATCATGGTAGCGCTCCGTCCGGACCGCGTTGAGGGGGTGCTTGCCAACGGGGGCGAACCCAGTGAACGGTTCGATCTCACCTCGAACCCGGGCCCAGATCTTGCTTGCCATGACGGGGTTCTTCTCTGCGACCATAGTACTGGCGGGATGGGGGAGGCTAGGCGAAATTTTGATGTCGCCGAGCGTGTTGACCGGCACTGCAACAATTGCCGCGCGCGCCAGAATTCTCTGACCGGCACGCGTGGTGATCGATACCTGCGAGCCGCGATCCTGGATAGCACTGACGGGGGTCGAGAGGCGGAGCTCAGCAGTCGATTCTGAGAGGATAGCGTCTATGAGGCGTTTGGTGCCACCGTCGATGGCCCAGAAGCTCGCAGTCTCAAAGAAAGCTTTGTAATCACCAAAGTAGGTTGCGACGCAGTGAAGCAGCTGCGCGATGCCGTGAACTTTGTGGTTGTGGACTACGCCTGCCAGGGCACTGTCAAGGACATCCCGATGATAGGAGTCAAGCCCCAACGAGTTAATGCGGTCCTCGATGGTTTCGCATTCCATGTCGCTATTTTCAACAGCGTTGATCATCCAAGGAAGCGGAAAGCGGGCGCGGGCATCGGCAAAGAGTTGCGCCATCGCGGGGTCCAGGACATCGTAGTATTCCTGCTCCGTCCCGGAGTGCATATTCCCATCTGCCAGCCAGTAAGCTTTGCTGGTAGAAAGTGGGGGCAAAATCCCGATCCCATGCTTTTGCAGTTCATGCCACACATGCGGCTGGGTCCAGTGCACATAAGCACCGCCGAGCTCGATGCTGTCGCCAAGAGCCTGCTCCAGGTAGGTTCGGCCGCCCACTCTGTCCCGCGCTTCGAGAAGAACGACAGAAAAGCCTTTCATGCTAAGGTCACGAGCAGCCGTGATTCCAGCCATCCCAGCTCCAATGACGGCGACGTCAAATATCTCCATGGCGACGTCTCGGCGATACAGCAAGCTTGGCGTAGTGATTAGGTAGGAAATATGGTCGATCCCTGGCCACTGGGCAATTGGAATTCCTGAAGACACTGCTGTTACAGAACCGACGGTGCGGGCCCCTTTGGCTCTAATAAGAGGCAAACTCGGCCATGCGATAATCACGGGCGTAGAATAGGATCCGTATTGCATACCACATGATGCACAGCATTACCCTCTATTCCAGGCAACCTTGATAGCGCCATTTCGGATGAGTGCGAGGAGAATCATCGGAGAATGAGGGGATGGGGAGATGACAGCGGCTCAGCGGCTCCATCCCTGAACCGCAAACCGCCGGGGTAATAAAGGCCCCGAGAATGGTGAAGCTCGGAATTACCACGCGGAACCGCTCTCTAGAGCCTCGGGAACGCGCTGAGGTGTGGGGGCGACTCGGCTCCTCGCATTACGACTGGATCACGAGGAAGGGCATTCGCGAGATTTGAAGCGAGGTCGAGAATAGGGAGATGCCATATATGACATATGTGTCGTTCCTCGAGAGGTTGGTATAAAGGAGAGGTGTGGCCGGAAAACTTGCAAACTACATTCGCATAGGCCTATGTTAGCCTTGTCGCAAATTCTGCTCAGCTAACAGTCCTCATCATGGGTAGGAGGCATCGAAACCCGCTTACCAACCCGCTGGACTTTGCGACACTGCAACTGCGCACAGGGCCCCCGGTAACCTATGCGGCCGCCCAACGCGGGCTTGTGAGCTATGACTACGGTAAGTCTTTAGCCTGCTAAAAAGGTTCTAAAAGTACGCTCTGATCGAAGCCCTTGATAAAAAGTGATCATCGGTGCCGGTGCGGCAGGCTGTGTTCTGGCCAGCAAAATCTCCGAAGACAAGGATGTCTCGGTGCTGATCCTCGAAGCCGGCAGCGACAACACCAAGGTCTTCGAAACGAAGGTACCTCTCCTATTTTCGAAACTGTTCCATACCCAGCATGATTGGGACTACTACACTGTCGAGCAGCCCGGGCTCGCTAACCGCCAGCTGTACTGGCCCCGGGGGAAGATTCTCGGGGGTTCGACCTCCCTCAACGCTATGATGTACCATCACTGCTCTAAATCCGACTTTGACGAATGGGCCTCTACGTACGGCTGTGAGGGATGGAACTATGACCAACTAGCGCCTTTCCTCCGGGCCATGGAGCGGTTTACCTCCCATCCTGGGCGTCCTGCTATCGATCCCGAGCACCGTGGCACGTTGGGGCAATGGCACACGGGTTATTCGTGGTTATCCGAGATCGTCGAAAAGGGATTCCTTCCCGCCTGTCACGATGCTCAGATTCCTGCCATCGCGGACGTTAATACCTGCCAGGGCAGTCTAGGCGTGACAAGGTTCCAGACCTTCATCGATCCTAAGGGGCAGCGCTCGTCGCTCGCTACGGCCTTCCTCACACCGGAGGTGTTAGCGCGGCCGAATCTTTATGTCGCATGTAATTCTCGTGTGACCCGCGTGCTTTTTGATCTGATCACAACTAAGGAGCCGACGGCGATCGGAGTTGAGTTCCAGACTAGCCGCGATGGGCAGCGCTTCCAGGTTCACGCGCGACGGGAGGTACTCCTTTGTGGTGGAGCGATCAACACGCCGCAGACGCTATTGTTGAGCGGCATCGGTCCGGCCGACGAGCTCAGGGCCCATGGGATCCCCGTTATCCAAGAGAATAACGCTGTCGGTCGTAACCTCAAAGATCATCTCTGCACGACGCCTATCATTTGCAAAGCTAAGGACGGCGCTACCCTTGATTACTTAGGGAATGACATAAAGGCCATTCCGGCACTGGCGCGATGGTTACTCACAGGCGGCGGACCTCTGTCTAGCAACGTCGGTGAGGCCGCGGCATTCATCCGGTCTACTGACTATCGCTTCCCTGGGACTGTGAATGTTCCCAATGACCATACATCTGGTGCTTCTGCGCCAGACATCGAGGTTATCGGCGCCCCGCTTGCCTTTATCCATCATGGCGAGGAGAAGGCAATCGAGAATAGCAGCGTTTTTAGTATCATCCCCATTGGTCTTCGCCCACAGAGTCACGGCACGGTCACCCTAAAGAGTAGACATGCATTTGATGCGCGTAAGTTTCTTTTATTCGTGTCATACGAGTGGACGTTTGAATCGAGACTGACAGGCAATGACTGACTCCAGCGGTAATCGATCCAAAGTACCTTAGCGACGAGAGTGGCAACGACAGAAAGGTTCTTCTGGTGGGCCTGCGAGTGTGTCTCAAGATTATGAGGAGTCCGGCTCTCAAGAAATACTTTGAGACAGTCCCCGTGAACGACGATCCGAGCTCATACTGGTGGCCCTACTCGAGCAGTAATATTGACAATATCACTGACGAGCAGCTCCTGCGTTTCATGGATGAGAAGGCATTCACTCTGTACCACCCCGTCGGTTCGGCGCGCATGGGCCCGTCGCCCGCCACCAGCGTCGTCGACCTTGAATGCCGAGTCCATGGTGTTAAGGGTCTCCGTGTGATGGATGCCAGCGTGTTCCCAGAACAGATCAGCGGACATCCCACAGCGCCTATTGCTGCTATGGCTGCCATGTTGAGCGAAATAATCAAAGAACGCAGCGCTGTGGCTACCCCTCTCTCTGCAAATTTATGAGAGTAGAACAGCTGTACCGCAACGTTTACTTTTCGTATACAATGATATCTTGATCTTTGTCCCTCTCATACTCATTTCACAATGGTATCATCAGGGCATGCAACCCTTCTCTCCAATAAAGACATAATGCAAAGGACTGAAACCATTACTCTCACACAACGACGGGGAATAGTTGCAAACGTTTACAATCTGTGTATTGTCTCGTACCTTGGGAGGAACCACGAGATTGTCGGGAAATGGAGTTTATATACGCACGAATCATCGCGAAGGACGCAGAGCCAAGAACAAACTAGCTATAAGGATTCTTTACGTAAAACAATGCAGATCGGGTAAGGTCACCAGCGTTTCCCGAAGGCCGCAGAGCGTCCCTAGACAAGTCTCCAGTCCCGCTGACATCTCAGCAGCGCCTTTCAAATCCAGAATGTTGATCATCTCGTGGACCTCGTCCGTAAAAGCCTTGACCGCGAAGGTCTGTGCTTGGACCACCATTTTTGGATACTGTAAGGACTCATATCAGCAAAAAAAGAAGAATTGCATGAACTCTACAACCAGTCTCACTCACGGGATGAGCGGCAATGTCCTGAATGTGGGCCTTCAAGCCACCCTTTCCTTGGAAACCGGGACTCGTGATTCCTTGGGAGATTGTAGCAAAGGTAGACACTTGCTGTGCGCTAATAAGGCGTTGCTTCTGACAATACGATTTCGTCGATTGGAGGACACTAGCGAGGGAATCTTTCTCTTGGGACGAAGGGTGCCCTGCTAGACCAGTCTCAAGTCTACGTGTGATCGCACAGAAGACCAAGACCGCCAAATCGCCGTCATTCAAACAAAATCCTGCCAATCGTCGCATATCAGACGTCAGCTGTTTAATGCAAGACGCTGTCCTATTCTCGAGTTTGCCAAAGGACAGTCTCCACAATTTCACCAGCCTCACGGCTGTAATAAATCGTCGATGAAGCGCTTCATAGTCTGCCCTGTCATTCAGGAGGTTTTCGACCTCCAGTGTGAAGGGAGCCAGAGACATCCATAGAAGGACTGCCACAGAGCCTGACTGTCTCGCAGACTCTAGTAACATATCCTCAGAGCTTTCCCCGTAAGCGAGGTCCACAAATGAGCTTTTCCCCTCCTTTGTTCGCGACAAAATCAGGTTGTCGGTCTCATGGTCATGGGGCAGGGCTATTGAAAATGTATCGCTCTCTGCGCTCTGGATCGTGTCATGCGCACTGTGTAGGCTCCCGTCGGTAGTGCTGTACATGTTCAGAGGTATCGGGCATATCTTCCCGCGCGATGAGGTAACTACGATGCAATTGGCCATGGTACTTAACCATTCAATAGCAGCAATCAGCTCCAGGACATTTTCTTGGACGTCAGGTGGAAGTCCCTCAACGAGATGAGGCTTAGCCCTCGTGTTGGGAGGTCTTTCCACTCCGCCAAAATTTGCGAGGACACATGCACGCGCCTCAGTACAGAGCATCTTAAGACGCCGAACGCCTTCCGAGAAGGCATACGAAGCATCCTCTTCGTCTATAGCGGTATTTTCGCCAACAGTTGGTGGGGATATCATGCCAAACAAAAGTAGTGACAGCGCCAACCGAAACGAATGAGCAGCTGCAATGTTTTTGAACAATAAATCCTTGGCCCTGCGCCATGTCTCCAGGGCAATATCCCGAGGATGTGAGTGTGAGTCCCATTGCTTTGGCTGGCCCGGGGATGAGCACCGCTTGTTCGGAATCTTAAACTGTGCTGCTGTTGCAATGGTGACCCATTTGTATGTCTCGGTAATGAGTGCATCACGGGACGCGGACGCACGGCTTGTCTGGGTCCCATTGTGCTGGAACAGGCAGTCAAGCACACTGGCCGCGCGGAATACATGTGGCCCGCCTGACGACAAGGCCCATGAGCTCGTTTGGCCTTCCCAGCAGCTATCAACCCACCCATTGGCCTGGTCGAAGTATGCGGACATATGGTTGCTGTCACCGAGAGGCCCTAAGGCAGCAATTCCCAGAGGGTATCGAGGAGGCATACTTGCTTGCGCAATGCATTCGGCCAGTGGCATATCAATAACATCCACATACAAGCTGAACTGCTGTAAGCATGTGTCATGAGAGAGCAGCTTACGGGCGAGTTCCCCTTCTCTTGTGATTGCAGATGCCTGGCAGTCAACTAGTGGCGTCTTTGGCGACTCTTCCGTGGCTGCTGAGGGCGCAGTTCTAGAGTCCACCCCGGTGTCTGCCTCTTGAACACATGACATTGTCCTGGGCCGCTTTCGGGTGTGCTGGAGGGCCTTCTTGTTGGAGAGCCATGCGACTGTGCATTCTACCCCGCGCCCGTTGCATGTTGTGCAGGAAACTAAAGGCTTTTGATCATGGATCACGACATTGTGCGGCAGGTCGCATGCTCTTTTAGAGGTCCGGCATCGGTCGCAGGAGTGGTTTTGCTTGCGAGTCGCGCCGATCGCCACGGCCTCGCTCTGCGCGAAGCGGGCACCAGGGCTTTGAACTGGGTTGGCAGACTGAGGACTAGCATTTTCAATACTATCGAGGGCTGAATCCTGGCTGGCTTGATTCATGGCAGTGATGTTGACCAGGCGATCGAGATCGTCTTCGTCGTTGTCGGCCACGGGAGGAGGCAGGTTGCACCATAGCTGGGCCGAGTCTGCACCCCATCCAGGTAGCCCATCGGGCTGTGAGAGGTGCTCTGCATAGTTTGCTCTGAGCGCGATGTAGTTCGAAAAGGGATGCGCCCCGGGCTCATCGCGGTCAGACATCCGGTCGAAGTCGAGATGGCTCAGCGTGGGAATCTCAGTGTGGGAAGAACTTGCTGACGCAGCTGACATTATGTTGCAAGCACGACCCTGGCCGGTACACAAGCGTGATCAGGCATAGTTTCAGAGCCTTTGCAGGCTGTGAAAGTGAACCAGGAGAGGCTACGGAGAATAGAAGGCGCGAGGGTTGCCCCCCAGATTTGCGGGGAAGATTCATGCGGGGGTTCGCGTCTGCGGATCCGACGATTACACACGCTACCAAGAACCGTGGGTCTGTCTGCCCTCGAAAATGTGATTTTCAACCTTATCGCGGTGTCTCGGAGCTACATGCGCCGCGGCTCCGAGACCACTCAGAGTAAATTGATTAAGGATACCACTACCGCATGGTCGCTCTCAGCCGTGTGTGGCTAATGTGGACATGGCTAGTACCTAGTTGGGCGGCTTCCCTTCCTCTCAACAACCGCCACWCGGAGGGCCAAAGCGTATTATCCAACTGACATTCGACATATGTACAGATGGTCCTCTCCATAGTACACCCAAAGAATATCTCCTGCCTGAGCACCCCCGGCTCGAAAGCAACACGGCGAATGCCCTACTCTAGGGTTATTCAAGAACTACAGCTTTCTTTTGGCCAGGGAGCTCGGCTATCCGAAGGCAGAGGGGATTTATATCAACAAATCTGTTCAATGTTCACAGTGTTGAGTTACATACTAGCATCAGGTGCTTCTGATTGCATGTAATTTATCTCAGTTGCTGCCCCATCCAGGGTGGGTATTGGCGGTATTAAAGTTCATTTTTTTCATAAGCAACCTGATCAACAAGCTTCAAAGCGGCAATTCTACTCGAGTTATATGCACGCTGCCCTTCCGTAGGCGCTGTGTGGGCTGTGGCGCTCGAGATACTGACTAGGCACAGACCGGGTCCACACGCACAGGGAATGAGGACGCCAATCTTGCGCGTCTTGGCTACAAGTGTATATAGGGAGTAGACTGGTTTACCCAATCCGCAAATCCATATCCAACCCACCCAATCCACACTTTGGGTTGGATAAGGGTAGGCCCTCATCCAACCCACATGTATATGGGTGGATGATACCTAACCCATATGGGTATGGATAACCCATTTRGGTGCACATGACYGGYAGAATTTAGTAGGTTTATRGATTTAGTGGTTTATCYAACCYATTTAATCACCYAATTAGCTGTGTCTCTTAGCCTTTTGAAGTTAAATATAAGGTAAGAATTATTAAACCTTTTAGATCTACAGTCTTTAAGTATCTATAATCTACCATTAAGAGATTTAATTATAATATAATAAGCATATAATCCTAAATTTTATTCACATGCCAGCTAGTTCATGATAGTGTCCAGGTCAACATACACTATTATGAAGAGAATGTATGGGAGCTAGAGGCTGAGGCTTAGCAGGCTTAGCAGGCTCAGCAGGCTAAACAGGCTTAACAGGCTTAACAGGCTCAGCTTATAGAGGCCTAGCTAGCTTAATAGGTAAAGATAAAATAGGCTCAACAGGTGAAGATAAAACAGGCTCTATAGGCAAAGGTATAACAGGCTCAACAGGCAGAGGTATAATAGGCTTAACAGGCGAAGATAAAATAGGCTTAATAGGCAGAGCTATAACAGGCTTAGAAGGTAAAGGTAAGATAGTAGATATAGCATTACTATCACTATCTATATCATCAGGGAAAGTAAAAGCCTTATTAAGTAAATTAATATCTTCATCAAAGAAATCAGGATCCTTATAGTTACTAATATATATTTAACTCATCACATTATCCACCTTACTCACTGACTGATCATGATAGTAATATAGATCCTGTTTCTTAAGTGGTTCCTCAGACTCAGAGATGTCATGTAACTTAGTATAGTCTTAGGTAATAGTAAACCTATCTGTGCATATCTGGATCATAATTAACTTAATAGTAGCTATATATAATTATATATAATAGTAGTAATAAATATCTCAAGCACTATTAAAAAGCTATTTAACACCAACACCACTGGAAGGGATAGTAAGAAAGTCAGATACTATATAACTAAGTATTAGAAATTATCTAGAATTCTATCACCACTAGTTAAGAATATCCAGGTTTTCAGGGACTTCAGTGCCTAATCTCTTAATATTAGATTTAATAATAGTAAGTAGAGGAAATTATACCTTCTTAAAGATAGGTCTCTAACTCTGGATAGAGTTGACCTGACTAAGATAGCTATTTTTATTTTTATTTCTAGAGCTCAAAGATAGCCTGCTGTAGGCCTTCCTTTTACTTTAGCTAGATAGAAGGGGTGGTAGTATCAGGATATAGGAGGTAATAGTAATAAAAGAGTTCCTAAAAAGTTATAGTATACTTCTTATACTAGTTAATCTACTCCTCTGCCCAAGAGCCCTTCTAAAAAATTAATAGCTTCTAGGAAGGATTAAGAATTATTATAATAGTATAAACATACCCTTCTATCTAGTAAGTATAGTTATAGTACTTCTTTAGCTTATTAGAGGCTGCTTGCAGTGCCTTCACAAGATATCTTTTCTAAGGGGCCCTCTTCTTCTCCATTCTTTTACTTATATCTTTTAGATAAGTAAATAAGACATTATAGACTATATATACATCATGCATACTAGGTCCTGATATTAAAAGATTTATTATAAAGGTAAAGAATAGATAGAGAAGTTTAATTAGATATTTAAGATGCTTCCACTTAAAATTAGAGAGCTGAAGATGCTTAATATCAGGCTGATTCTAAGTATTTATAAAGATATTTACCTTACTCTATAGTTTTAGTGCCTAGCAAAGCATTAAGTATATTAAATTCTATTATATCTTACAGTCTTGTAGGAGAAGGTATATCTTTTAAGATTCTTAACCCTTATTATATTAGATTTAAATAAACTTCTATCAGCATTAAGGACTTGTATTTATAAACTTAATAATCTTCTATATCTATAGAGAGAAATTATTAGAAATCTATTAATGAGAGATTAAGGAAGTCAAACCTTCTTAAGAGATTATTTTAAGCTAGGTAGACTTTAAAGCTACTAATCACCCTTAGACTAAGTCTTTATAATCTAGTTATCTTCTAATTTAATATTTAACTAGATTAGGAAAGCTTTTACTGTAAGCTAAAGGACATAGGCTAGGCAAGATATATATTAGATATTATTAACAATCTGTCTTGTTGAATAAGAAGTTAACTGTATATATATATAAAGTACACCCATAAGTCCTAGATTAAATATTATCTATTAAAAAGAACCAAGCCATAGTCCTTTCTAGAGTTTAGTTCCTAATGCTTACATCATCTTCCTATTATTACTTATATTATTAGTAGTGATAGTAAGAACATAAGATTAAAGACTATAAAGAGAAAGAATATTTATAATAATCTCTGCAAGATAGTTTCCAGTATACTCACCCTTAATTAGATAAAACCTAAGGAGTATCTCCTGAAATTTAAACCTTTTATTAATAAAGTAAGTAGTAATAGTAAGAAATAGCTTATAGTTAGGACTTATCCAGCAGTCTAGAGCTAAGGAAATTTTGCTATTTAGTAGAAGTTTTATAATAAGTTCTAAATGACTAATAAGAGTAAGTTCTTAGAGGTGCTTAGTAAGAGTGATATAGGAGGGAATATATATATCTAGATTTGCCATTTAAATTATACATGCAAATTAGATATATTTAATTATATAAAAGGGGAGTTGACAGGCAATAATAAATTAAAGGAGCTGGTTAATAAATTATTCTAGGGTATAGGTATAGTCCTAATAATTAATATATAATCTAATAATAAGAGATTAAAGAGCAAACCTTAGTAATAAGATATTATTATAGACTTCTCTCTGATCTATAACTATCTTAAGAACCTTGATATCTCTTTAAATAATAATATAGATTAGTTATCCTATTTTACTTTAGGAAGTTAGAGTAAGTAAATAGAGCTCTATATCTATTAGTTATATAGCAAAGCAAGGGTTCACTAGAAGGGATACCTACAGCCTCTATAAAATAATCCCATACTTCTACTTACCTATATAACCATCTTAGCTTAATATTCTTTACTGCATAGGTTTTAGCATAAGATATTTTATTCCACTAAGAATAGAAGTCTGCTTGTAGCTTAGTATTTATAGGATAAAAGATAACTTAATAAAATTTTTTGCTGCCAGGGACTTAGTTAAGTATAGATAGTATAATAGGAGATTAAGTAGAGGATAGGGCTATAATCTTAGTTAGTATAGCCTCTGAAGTATTATCAGGAATGAAGTATAAGATAGAAGAACTTAGCCTAATTATAGATTAGTGGGCTTGGGCCTCAAAGGAAGACTATATATCTAATTATATATTAAATTCTTAAGAATTATCTATAGATAGTAATGGAGTAGAGAAGAGTATTTTTAATTTAATAAATAAAAATATTAGGGATTACAGAGAGACTAGAATTAGAATTTTTTAAGAAGATAGAAAAGAGTAAAAGAGTCTAGATACTAAGTATTTAGGACTAAGTAGATTTCTAATTTTAGATACTAAATAATAATAATCCTACTGAACCCTAAATATCCCAATAAGAGATTAGGAATAAGTAGGTGCTCATTTCTTATGCTAACTAAAAATAATCCTACTAATTATTAAATCTCTTAATAAGAGATTATATGCTAGTAAGGAAAAAAGGAAAAAAACAAAGAAAAAAATAAAAAAGAAAAATAGATTACTATCTATAATATTAGCAGTAGTACCCCTAGTACAAGGAAATAAAAACTAAAAAGAGTAGTTATAGTACTGGCAAGATGATTATTATACTAATAGTACAGAATATATCTTACTATGGATAAATAGCCAACACCTCCTTTAAGAAGAACCTCCTGCTGGAGGACTTGCTCCTAAAGGACCTACTATAGGGGGTATAGAGTCTAGCTTTTAGTACTTTAACTTACTAGTATTACCTAGGGGATGTTAGCTATCCACTATAATCTCTTAATAAGAGATTATGGTTAGTAAATAGAAATTATATACCTTTTGCTTTTGCCTTGCTAGTCTTTCTCTTTAGTAAGTTCTCCTTAACTAACTTTATATTTATGTCCTTCAGTGCTGTCATCCTATCTGCTATTAAGTAGTTACTAAATTCTAATAGCTTAGCTGCCAGAAACCCAGTCTTTTTAGAGGTACTAGAGGATGACTTTTGCTGTATGTATATAGTATACTAGGTAAGGTCTTTATTAAAAAAGTCTATCTATAGACTCCAGCCTGCTTGCTCTAGGGTACTAGCAAGTTCTTTTAGTATATTATAAGCTTTCTTATAGTTATCCTAGTTAAGATTAGCAGATGCAGATTCTCTTATTAAGAGATTTATAATATACTTAGTTCCTGATGATCTCTAGTTTAGGTACTCTAATAATATTCATCCTATGCTTAAGGGTTGTGAGCATAGACTGCTTTAGTAGCCTGTAATAGACTATAGCTTTAAATACCTCCCCTTCTTTAATAAGGGTCTTCTTAATATTCTTAGTATCCAGGGATGGAGTCTATTAGAATATTAAATTATCTTTTATATTAGTATCTATAATAAGAAAACCCTAGTTAGACTCTCTAATAATATTAATCTCCTTATTCTAATAAATATTAGTATAAATCTTATATTAGGAGATTTAATTAGCATACTCTGTAGTCCTTCTTATTAAACTCTGCTATAATACTATAAAAGTAAGGGCCTGTATAGTTAATCATAGACTATAAGAGATACACCTAGTTTTAATATCTAAACCATTTATGGTATATTACTAACTTACTCTTAAAATTTACTAGAGCAGCTTTATACTTCTTTTTCTATCCTTATATAGTAATACCTAAAATAGTAGCTAGTTTTTCTTTTTGCAGATCTTTGTCTGGCAGAGTAGTCTAATATAAAGTTAATTAAAATCTACTATTAAGAGATTAGTCTTACTAATGCAGTGGATAAGTTATGCTATAGTAGATCCTAGTCTACTAAATTAAAAACCTTATAAATAAAATCTTATAAGTGTTTGAGAAGGTTCTCATTAACTAAAAATAGCCTAGTCACACTATTAGTAAGTATTAAGGTTAGAAAAATATACTCTTTGATGGCTTGATCCCACATAAAACTTTTGAGGTCATTAGCTATAGCAGCTGGATATTTCCAGGATGGTTCCACTTAAAACATAATATATTTTAGTACCTCCCTGATAATCACACTAACCTTATATTTTTTAATTAGTATTGACCTGTACTTTTATTAGCATATACTAGAATCTAATAATAATAAGATTTACCATTCTTTAAACCTTTCCTCCTTGTCATAAAATATTATAAATATATAGATATACTAATCATTATTTAGGGCCTCTAAAAACTGCAGGTGATGGTGTTTAAGTATATGAGTTTTAATAACTACTAGCTCTGCTAGTACTTACTAAGTTAATAGGTCATTATTAATACTATCTAATAGCTAAAGAAAATCTAAGATGTTTTAGCTATTGAAGTCTTCCTTTTTAGGAAGGAAGAGAGTATATATAATATTTAGATAATAATTTTCCTTCTTTTTAAGTTTAAAGATATATTTCTAATTATTAAGAGAGACTAATAGGCTTATATCCCTAAAGACATCATTACAGAGCTTCCTAAACTTTTTAAAGAAGGGCAAATAAATCTAACATTAAGAGAATTAGTATCTATATATTAATTCTTTAGACTTATACTTATAAAATCTAGCTTCTGAGAGATAATAGTTTCTAAGCACCCAAGGGAGGTGATGTCCTAGCTATACTATATTAATATAAAAAACTTAGCAGCAGCTTAGAAGTTACAATATCTTAAAAGAGTAAGAATTCTAGGCACTAATTTTTAGTCTACCCTGAATATTAATATAGCCTATTTAGTAAAGAAGGAAGGGCTAAGTTTATGGACATTATAGTCCCCAGGGAGGTTATTAATAGTATCTATAATAGCATGTATTAACTCACCACTTATATTTATCTTATAGACTGTTTTATAATTAGCTTGTAGGTGATATAGTAAGGGTTTATCTAATTAGTCCTTATCCTAAATATCATAGGCCTATAAATATGCCTATAGCAAGTCAGCTCTGGTATAAGTAGAAATCTCTTATTAGAAGATTTCTTACTGTGTTATTAGGCAGCTTAATCTACTTACCTTATAGATTAATATCACCTCTTACAGCAGCCTTACTTATCTCTCTGCAGAGACTTATTAATACCTCTCTTCTATACTACCTAGTCTGGAGGACTGGTGCTGTAATACCCAGGATTAGCTATACCTAATTAACAGTGAGCAAGTCTGTGGTCTGCAGGCGGGATTATATTATAAGTTTGTCTAGGTCATCCAGTGTTAGTTATTTATTATTAGTCCTTATAAAAATCTAAGTAAGGTAGGTATTAAAGTCTAACTTAGATAGCATGACCCACATCCTATCATCTAGTGTATACCAGCAGATATTTATTATAAATTACTGTTTAAGGTTATCAACATATTTTTAGTTTAAGGTATAATTTTAGCCCCTTCTCMACTAAGTCTGCAGCAGGTATATATTAAAAATAATAGTTCCTAGAAAGCATCACTCCAGATTCTACATTATTTCATCTTTACTAATCTCAACTTCTTACATAACTAGGGTATTAGCTTACTTATCCTTCTTTTTCCTCTCTATATTGCTTTAAATCTCCTAATGAGAGAATTATAAGGTGGGAGTAAGGGTTATAGAACAGATAATAAATAGGCTAGTAGATCATAAAATCTCTTAATGAGAGATTTTAAGAGTGGGTGTTAAGACTTAATAAATAAATAATGAATAGGCTGGGAGATTAAAAAAACTAAGTTTTAATAAAATCTATAAAAAAGAAGAGAAAGAGGTCCTGTAAGGCTAAGGAGCATTCTCATTAATATATTTAATACTAGTATTATTCAACCTCTCTATTAATAATATTTAATAGTGAATATTGTTAAGCAGAATTGATTGTTCTTTATATTATACTTAATTAATTTAAATAAGTAAATAAATAAAGAAAGTTTGATATTTAGTTAGTTATATAACTACTTAGTAATCTCTCCTAATAAGAGTATTATATAAACATAATCATTAATTCATTATTAAATCATTAAGTGTTGCAAATTTGTAATATAGATTCTATATATTAATTAAATACTACTCTCCATGCTAAAATATATTAAATCTCTTATTAAGAGATTTATAATATAGTATTCACAGTAATACTTATCTTTTTGTGGTTCAGAAAGACTTCTAGTTATATAAATATAATATATAGTATATATAGTTTATATATATATTAGCACTCCCTTACAGGCATTTTTAAATATACAGTCTATCTACTATATATATCAAAATTTAAACAATCTCTTATACAGATTAGAAAAGTATTCTTATATAGTTATATTCCTTCTTTCTTTAAGTATATCTATCACAGTGTGTGGGTAGAATATTAAAATATTAATATTAAAGGAGAAGGTAAAATATTATCTATATTTTAAATATACTATATTAGTAGGCAAAAATCATATATTCCTGCTGCTCAGCTAACCATACTTCTTAATTATACTTTATCCTAAAAAGAAACTATATAGATATATAGAGATATATAGATAATACATTTAGACCATACTGCCTTACTATAACTATTTAAGTCTTTATAAGTAAATTATAGAATTACTTTCCTATAAACTTAAGAAGCCCACACCCTATACTTCCAGGGCTAGGGACCTCTTATTAGCTAGAAGAATTTCTCACTATGGAGATCCTAATAACTATTAGTATCAGGAGACAGGTACTAGTTTTAACTAAACTAAATATTAGGCTAGGTAGTTTATATTATAAGACTATTAATTACAAGGCTAAAAGTATTCAGAACTAGGTCTTTTGCATAGTCAAGCATAGCCTTTAACTTATAAATTATTAAGACAGTCCATAGGACATAATAAAGATTAAAGATAAAATTAATATATAATATATTATAATTTATAAACTTATAAACCTAGCCTCGCCATGTCAGTGTTCCAGTATGTTTGTAATAATATTAATGGGCTTATAGGTTATGGATTATCTATAATATCTATAATATTCTCTTAATGAGAGATCTTTCCGCCTACTAAAGTAGTATAGTTTAAAGTCACGTGCAAAATATGGGTAGAAGGGGTATCCATAATCCAACCCGCATGGATTTCAAGGTGGATGGCTAACGTCATGGGTTAACCCAAAACCCATTTGGGTTGGGTTGAACCCCATGTGGATCCATCCAAACCCAACCCATGACCAGTCTAATAGGGAGTCATGGGTCTGGGTTAACACCACAGCCATGGCTAATCTTAATGAAATATATACCATTCAGGAGCTCACAGAGGGTAATTAAATAATAGTACTATTACTAAAAAAAAAAAAAAAAAAAAAAAAAAAAAAAAAAAAAATATTAAGTATTTGTAGAGTTATTTACTATAGAAGGACAAAATCACAGAATTACAAAAACACAAACATCTTAGTCTCAATGCTCTGCCGAGGCTCATGATCCATAATGGAAGGGAGCTCAAAAGCGCTATGAGCTAGGGTAAATCCCCCCTCCTCCAACCGGTCGCTATCAAACTGCTTAAACACCAGCGGCTCATCACGCTGCTGTTGACTGAGATAGTACCACCGGTGATCCTCGTTGTGCCGCACCTTACTCAGCTCGTTCCAGCCCTGCGGAAGGACCAGCCGATACGGCACGATATCCTGCTGCGGGTTGGTAGACTGCCAGTCACAGACAGCGAGCGGATCCCGTTGAACGGTCTTCAACGGCCGCCAGACATTGATGATCATGACTCGACCGCTTAACAGCTGCTTGACGCGCTCCGGGTCGGAGACCTCATTTTCGAGATGCCGCAGCGCACCCGCGACGGTGAAGTCCGTGTGGACGCTGTGCGCTGGGGCGCGATTGTCGGCTAGCTTTGCTTCATCGGAGGAGAAGCAGCGGATGCGATGCGCGAAGGTGATTGTTTCTTTCGCGCCGGTTCTGTTTTGCTCGGGTTAGAGGGTGGCACTGTTTGGCGGAGAGTACGTACATTTTGCGGACCAGCTCCTCTGACTTGGGGATAAGGGTGTCAGTGACCTTTTGCTCGTCGGTCCAGTCGTCGAGCTCGGGGACCTCATCGTGAAAGTACTGGAATCCATGTGTTTCTAGTGTGTACTGGTCCTCGGTTCCGCGGATGTCGTGGATGAGGACGGGATGCTTCGCTTGTTGCTTTTCTACCTCTGCGAATTTCTGCTTTCCGTCGGGTTTGGCAAAGTCGATGATGATCGGGTCGTTGGTGCCTCCCCAGTAGTTGAGCCCTGTCTGTATGTCTTGCTTTTCAGGGGGAGGGTTGGTAGTTGTAGTGGTTGCGATCATTGTGTACAGCGATGAGAATGGAATGGGATGATGAATGAATAGATGTTTTGATTTCTTGGAGTCAGCTACAAAGAAGCCTTTCGAGATTGTCTAACAACATATTTATACACCTTGACTATAGCAGACGCGACCTACGAAGCAAAGGAGGTGATTGATGGCGAACCCGAACACGAACCCGAACCCGAGTGCCGATCATCCCAAGACAATTACCTCATCGGGAAATGTTTCCGAATACGCGATGGAACCGAAATGAGCGACTAGTCAAATCCAAGCTTGAACCCACCCCAGTTCAGCCTGGAGAAAGTTCTGAGAGGATCATACGCAGCCCGGACTGCCTTCATCCGCTGCACATTGGCTTCAGGGAACCCCGCAAACGGATCCTGCCACTCGCCCGCATCGCCCATATACACAAACTCGGAGCTAATTCCTTTCTTCTTGTTAATGGCGTGCAGAGACTCCGCGAGCCGACGCGACCAGGTTTGCACGCGGATATCGTCAGACGCGAGATCCCAGCCTGTGCTGAATTGCCACACTGCAGAATACATTAGTGATTGCCATGGCAAGGAAATCAGGGCCGTACATATCATGGGCTGTTCGTCCAGACCCCACACATTTCCAATTCCATTAGTCTTGGCTACTCGCGCTGCGCCTGCTGGAGAGAGGTTCATGACAAAGGTCGGGTAGAGGCCTTGCACGTCGGATATTTCATTGACCGCGCTCTTCCACGCTTGATAAATGGAGTAGAGGGTCTCGGGGTCGGGCTGCACGGTGTGGTGAGAGAACATGACGCTATCGCCGTTAGCATTAACATCAAGGTCCAAAGGAATGCTTCCTACCGGAACATCTGATTCGGGGTGATGAGTCCCGAAGCAAACTGTTTCCCTGTCGTCACATTGTGTATCTTTGACACGCCAGGGATGGCAGTGAAATTGGCGAACTGAGACGGAGGCCTGCTAACGCCTTCCTGCACCCCAATCAGCGAAGCAGAAGACACCTTCGTCGTGGCATTGTAATTGATCGTGAAGACGCCGCCTGCCCCGATGGGATTCGGCTCATCGAGCTTGACCAGATCACATAGCGCGGTGATAAAATCATAGATTCCGGACTCATTGAAGCTCTGGATTGTGGTGCTGATCTTCGGAATTGCAAACGTCTTCAGCGTAAACTTGGTCACGATCCCAAAGTTATTCGCGCCGCCTTTCAACGCCCAGAACAAATCCGGGTGCGAGGTCGCGGATGCAACGACCTGCGTCCCGTTCCCCAGCACCACCTCGTACCGGACGACGTTGTCCATGGCAAATCCGTACTTGTTGATGAAGTAATGCACGCCGCCGATAAGAGTTAGGCCGGGTACGCCGATGGTCTTAAGACGGCCGCCGATAGCGATGCGTCCGTAGGGGTCGAGGGCAGAGTAGACGTCGTACCATGTCATGCCTGGTCCGACGTCAATGGTCTCGTTGTGGACGGCGAATTGGTCCATTCCAGACAATGCAATGAGGACGCCGTTGTCGATATTGTTGGCTCCGGGGAACTATCCATCTTAGTGAGTGATTATTTGGTTCAGATAGGGATCGTACATTCATGTGTCCACCACCGCGGACAGCAAAGTGCGCATCGCAGTGGGTAAGTATTTTCACGGCGTTCGCGACTTCATCAGCGGTAGTTGGGAGGAAGATACACGATGGGTGAAGGTCGTCACGGATATCCCAGTAGCTGGTAGCCTCGACTGTATAGTTTGCAGATGACGGAAAGAGGACCTTGTCCGGGTAGGAGAACCCAAGCTGTGCACAGGCACATGGAGTTCCTGCCACGGATACATTCCAATTGGCCGCCGCCAGGCCAGCCAGAGAAAGGGTGAGTAGATGTAGAGAAGTCATTTTGATAGGAATTCGCTAGCTGATGGTGTTGATCAAGCTCCAGAAGACCAACGCCTTTTATAGGGACAGTAGCACCCCTGAGCCGTAGGTCGAAGGCATGTCATGACTGCATTTCTCAACTATTGAAACAATAACTTTGAAGATCAGCGATACTCAGCTTGTGCCCTGCACTTTGTTCAGATAGTAGGTGCCTATAGCAAATAAACTTCATCTCGGGTTCGGGTTCGGGTTCGGATTGTTTCTCACCGACGATCTTCGTTGAAGGATCTGCCCTAACCTCGACGGACGCAGCCACAGAACCTGAAATAACTTTGTTCGTAGCCTTATTACCCCAGTAGGAGTCTCAGGCTGCAGTATTACTGCGGATTCACTGCCCGTAGGAGCCACTCTGGATGAGATCGGATCGGAAAGAAGGACGGCCGCTCTCGTTAAGGACCCTCATGCAAGCTTTACCGGCGCGCGAATAACGCTGCCTAGAGATTGATATCTGTTAGCCTATCGGAATTGAACGGTAAATGCGGCTATGAATTGAATCTTAATACTCCAAGTGCCAAGGCTTCAAGCATTTCTATGTTGGGATGACATCGTACCCGAGTACGAATGCGAGATCAGAAATCCCTCGACATGTTGCTGTATGCTTCACATCATTGACAGAATTTGCTATATAAACATCTTGTAGTTCGACACAATGATCATCATACTCTCAGCACAACCTCAGATCTCATCATTGACAAACAGACAACATGTCATCCAACAACGGCTTCGTCCTCTATCACTATGAGCCCTCTCTGCCAGCAGCAATTGTCTTTTCGGTCTTGTTCAACATCACAACACTGGCGCATCTATACCAGCGTTTCAAGTCCGGATCGAAGTACATGAACCCCTTCATCGTGGGTGGCTTCTGTAAGTACCGCAGCAGTTCCATCCATACTCCGGCTGATCATCGACAGTCCAAGTCACCGGCTACGGATGCCGAGCAGCATCGCACTTCTTTGAGAATTCCACCACTCTCTATGCCATCCAGACACTTCTGGTCCTGCTGGCACCGACGCTCTACGCAGCGTCGATCTACATGATCCTTGGCCGGACGATCCAATTCCTCCACGCAGAGCGACTGAGTCCAGTGCCTACGAGATGGATGACCAAGGTTTTCGTTGCGGGGGATATCCTCTCGTTTATCCTGCAGGGAGCTGGTTAGTACCCTCTTACCCTCTGCTGTGAATGCGTTCTGACAGACACAGGTGGAGGAGTGATGTCCGCCGGGGGCTCAAACTCACAAGATATCGGCACGTACATCATCGTCGCCGGTCTTGGCGTTCAGCTCCTCTTCTTTGGTGTTTTTGTCATCGTCGCTTGGGTCTTCCATTTTCGATTCTCCAGCTCGGAAAACTCAGGTACTGATGTGAACACCTCTGGGAAAGTGCCTTGGGCGCGGAGCTGGAATGGTCTGCTCTGGGTGCTGTACCTTGTCAGCGGGCTCATTCTCATACGGAGTGCGTTTCGGATGGTGGAGTTTGCGCAGGGATTCAATGGATACCTGATCAGGCATGAGATTTTCATGTATGTTCTCGATACGGCGTTGATGTTTGTTCTGATGGTTGTGATGAATGTGGTTCATCCTTCTGGTGTTCTGGGCAGGGTGAAAGGGGAGATGGTGGAGTGTGAGACGCTGGGGGCTTAAGGCAAAGACGCGGAGAGGGAGTTTAGATGGATTGGAGTGTTGGACTGCGGTTCTGATATGGTTTGCTTTGTCTTGATTTTTATATGTGGTATGAGTTATTATTTCAGGGAAAGGGTGATATTAAATATATCAATGTTTTAAGTTACGAGGACCCAAAAATAAATCAGGCGGAAGTGGTTCCGGATTTGGAAAGATTGTACCAGGCACTATGATGCTATGGATTACAAGCAGGGTATACTGCAGGAACAACAGTAGCGATGATTGTCAAGGCCGCCACCCCAGTTGTTCCATCGGCCACTGGATCCAAGTGCGATGCTCCTGGTCCAGCAACCCATGGATCCGAGAAAGTAAATGCACACTCCACCCTTCCAGCCACCACATCCACTCCAGCCGCCGGAGCAAGGGACAAAAGTACMCAAATATCACTAGTGCCACATGTCGCTGCTCCCGGAGGAGAGTAAGAAACTCCTCCGATACCTGCAGCAGCCAGGCAAAGACATCCCCCGTCTCCCAGTCCCCGGTATCCGACCACTGAACATACGAAACCCTCAATTCCTGTATTGCTCCCAGGTAAATCCGTAATTCCTGCTGGTCTTTGACCTCTTCCCGAACCAACTCTTCCAAATCGTTCATGAAGGGTTGCCCCTGGGTGGAGAGGGTGTTGCGGTAGTCAGACCGGCGCTGCCGAATACTCAGCAACGCTGCCAATGGTCCCGATCGGAGTTCCTCCTGCGCATAATGGACTATTGCCCCCGTTCCGCGGAAGAGGACCAGCCACTCGGAGATTCGACCCTGCTGGAAGAGAAGCAGGTCGTCGAGTTTGCGGGGCTTGGCGCAGGAGAAAAAGCTAGTGAGAACGGAGAACAGGAAGACCGCGGAGCTGTTCTCGTTCATTAGTTGTGTCATGTTCGCGGTCACAAATTCCAAGGCCACATTGTGGTGGTGTTCTGCCTGAGACACGTAGAATTGCCGTTGCGCTGGCCGTAGGTAAGCCATGTGGAGGGCGGAAACGGCTAGCATCGCGCGGAGCGTATAGTGGGCGCCAAATCCGATCTGCGGTGCATCGATTCGCCAGAAGGTTTGCAGCGCTGGATGTCGAGAGAAGGTATATGCAGTAGACGTAGAGAAATGATGCAGGAGCTCGAGATCGTGCACTGCTAGGTCTGCAGATGCGCAGCTGTTTGGGTTGGAGGCCCGCGGAGATGCATTTTCACTCCTTTGGGATTGCGCAGGACTTCCTCCGCTTGGGAAGGAATATGTGCAGTCTACTGCGTGCTTGCTGCAATTTCTACAGGTCGGCTTGGCCTCATCACACTGTATGCCGAATTAGTTGGGTACTATGATGGAACTTGGATTATGATACTTTGATCTTTCTGGCCTTGCATTGCTGGCAGCCATGTCGTGATTTACGGTGTGTCCGACGACCTCTCATTGGCAATGCACTTGTCATGTTGCCAATCCTCTTTGGTTATAATATAGATGAAAATCACCTAGACAAGGGATGAACTGATAAAGTTACGTTGAGAGGATGAGACAGGCTACTGTCCCTTGCGGAGAGCGGTGGCAAGCAGCAGTATCCCGTATTCCAGCCACGTGGTCAGTGAACCCTAACCCCAATCCTGCTGTTTCTAGTCTCGTCAAAAGACATTTGGATCAACTTGGTCTTTGAAGGCATTCTATGATAGAGCCAGTCTGTCTGTTCTCGTGATACTATTCAACATTTGTATGGGATCCGGTATTCGCATCGTTGGTCAATGCGGAACAGAGAGAATATAGTATGGTATATTTCCTGAAATATAAATATTGCGGTTAGTCTATCAATGCCTAACCCGCTATGTATTAAGATGAATAGAGAGCACTCATGCAGCCCAGCCGAGTGCCGTAAACAGAACCCTTTTATGAATGAGTAGGGTCAAGACTCTGAGAGCAATCGATCATATGCCAGCTTTTCACCAACCTTCCACCACCATCCACTAGCCCACCCCCAGACTAATACTTCCCCCTCTCTCCATCCGTCCACTTCAACATCCTCAGCCAGATGAAAGCCGCTGCTCCGGCGGTAACCATGACCGCACTGAACAGCTCCGCCTTCCAAAACACCCCCCGCTCCAAATCCAACAGCGCCCCAGCAATGGGATTGCCAATCAGCAACCCCAAGCCGGCAAACGTAAAGCACATGCCCATCCGCGTCCCAACAATACTCATATTCGGACTCAGCCGGGCCACAATCGTCGGCGGCAACGAGACAATCGCGCCAGAGAAAAACCCATACAGACACGCAAACACGATCGTCCCCGCAATGTTCTTGATTCCCATCCAGGCGTACGCGAGGATGGCCGCACCCAAACCCATGGGAATGATGGTGTTGAGGGAGCCGAGCCGGTCTGCCACCAGGCCGGGGGTAATACGACCCAAGACGGACGTGGCGTTGAGGATGGCGATGATGTAGAAAGCTAGATCATCGGTTGAGTGGACGACGGAGGACATGTACGAGGGAAGGTAGAAGAACGGAAAGTAGAGGCCGACGAAGGCGCAGAACAGACCGAAGCTGAAGATCAGGAAGGGGGCTTCTTTGAAGGCGGAAAGGTCAAGGAGGGATCGGGTTTGCTTGGGAGGGGGCAGTCGCATGCGCATCACAGCGAGGGAGATGCACAGTCCGCCTAGGGCGATGAAGCCGATGATACGGGTGGTCCAGCCGAAGCCGACGGAGTCGATGAGGTTGCGGAAGATGATGGGGTATATCACGGAGCCTAGCTTGGTCAGTATACGTATGTTTAGTGCAAGGGGAAGGCGAGACATACCAATGCTTCCTCCCGACGCGGTGATGCCCGTCGCCACAGCCCGCCGCGTGGTAAAGTAAGTAGCCACAATAGCGATGCTAGGCAGGAACAGGAATGCACAACCAATTCCGACAGTGACTCCATGAGCCAGAAAGACTTGGTAGTACTGGTCTGACAGGGAAGTCATCATCAGACCGAAAACGACCAGAAATGAGCCCAGGGCTATCATGGTCTTGAGGTACCCCTTATCGAAGACCGGACCGGCAACGACTCCAACCAGGAACAGCAGAAAGCCCTGGACGGTGCCAATCCAGGAGATGGACGAGGGAGAGTGCCCATGCAAGAGATCCGTTTCATAGTAGGTCTGGTACACGCCAAAGGTGTTGACCACGCCCCTGGAGATCGGTTAGGGAGCGCGAAAGTCAACCAGGATATCTCCATAACTTACCATGAGTTGAAGAAGAGGAAAAAGGCTCCGACAACCTGAAGCCATGCCATCCACCCTCCATTTGGAGGGGGAGGGGGAGTCTGCGTCTCCTGCGCCTCCTGCGCTTTCTCTACCTGGGGCTCCTCAACAGGGAGTGTAGAGGGAGGAGACGACACTTCACTGCGATTATCCGGAGTAGCAGTAGCAGTAGCAGTCATGATGAAGGTATTGGCTGATTGCCGACAGAGTTGAGAGAATCGCACGTCAGCCCAATGTTGGATAGACTCATTTCCCCTCAAACAGACCAGGAACCAACCCTGTATCTATATGGCTTTAACAAAGCAATACACGGTGCGCCGAAGTGATACACCAAGCCAACTGATTAATAATGCAACAATGTGATCTGCCGGTTAGCCGAGACTACGCCTAAATGGTGCAATAATAGGTCTTTATTTTGTATTGATTCTATCTGTTTCCATGCAGGGATGGGCGCATCTGTTTTCCGCCGTCGCGCCAGATTGGTCGATCATGCCGCCTAGGCGTCGCCTTAAGTCGTATTGGGCCCATCAGATCAGCCACGATGAAACGCAAGATTCACCCTGTCGGCGCCACTCCGGGCTGGCGTCCAAGGATAAAGATCCTGCCAAATCCTTCGCATCCTTTCCTTCAATCATTCTCTCTCGTGGCTGCACACCTCCCCTTGGCCTGTCGGCTGGGCCGCACACCCACACAGAAGCGAGGGCTAGACCGCTAAAGCGTCCTTCAAGCATTTTCAAAAACCGAGCTAATGTGCATTTCTATTACTCTAACTTCTGACATAATTCTCACTCAGGAAATGATACCACCGCAGATCTTCTTCACGACAGTGCATTGATCTAACCCTAACAAGCAAATGGTGACAGTTGTCGCAACTAACTACTGTTCAAACACCATAATCTTCTTGCGCTCGCCTACTTCGCCCCTCTCGTGGCGCTCCAGCACCTCCTGCAACTTGCCCTCTAGATCCTGGTCGCCTCGCTTCCACCGCACATACTCCAGCGCAGGGGCCTTTAGCGTCCCCCCCATGAATAACCGCGCAAACCAATCCAATAGCGCCGTCTGATGAAACGATGATCGTCGGCCAAGACAGTCGCTCAGTCGAAATGCCTTGAGAGTGATGTTGCGCTGCCACAGGAACGGCCGCAGGTTGCCATCGGGGCCCGACGGCGCTACCCCCAGGAAGCCAGCCGTGACGAGTGTGGCTCCAGGGGCCAAAAACGACGCCATCAGTCGCGCCAGTGCGTCATCAGACACAAAGTCGATGGCGAGATTGATGCGCTTGCCCGCGAGCAGCTCCGCGCCGGAGACCTTCAGCTCGTCAGCGGTCAGGACAAGTGATGCGCCGTGCGACCGCAGCGAGAGTTTGGTGCGCTCGAGTTCCTCATCGGTACCACGGTCGCGAATCACGCTGATGACATTGACACCCTGCAAGTGCGCCAATTGACTCACGAAATGGCTCACCGTGCCGGTCGCCGCGTTCTGGATGATCCAGTCGCCGGGCTCGAGGGCGGAATAGTCCCGTAGCAGGAAGTAGGCCGGTGCCACCCCCATGCGTAGGATACATGCGAGCCGGGGATCCAGTTCCGACGGAACCCGCAGCACGTCGTTCTCGTCAAGGACGGCGTGGGTGCGCCAGGACCCTCGGCAGTGGGTCCGCAGGAGGATCGTGTCCCCGACGCGGAACTGGGTCACTTCCGACCCCGTCTTGACAATGCGGGCCGCCCCGTCTGAGCCTGGAATGGGCCGGTGCTCGCCGTCCCCGACGCCGACATGGTTCTGTGGTTTGACCGGATATTTTCCGTGCAAAACCAGAAAGTCGAGGGGATTGATGGGTGCTGCAAGGAACTCCACCACCACCTGGTTAGGACCACAGTCCGCAGGCGTAGGGATTGAAACAAGACGGATGTCTTTGACGGGTTCTGCGGAGCCGTACGCAAATACGAGGGATTGAGCCATGATGTAATGGGAGTCAATGAGAGAACTTTAACTTGCAAGCTGATTGGTTGCGACTACCGAAGTCAATGGGGATGGTTGCAGATGTCCAGCGTTGTATATGGGAGCCATTTATAGCACGTCGACGGACAAATTCAGCTAGAGCCATCATCGTCGAAGCATAAAATATGCAGACACTCGTAGAATATTTTCGAAACCTCGGCTGCAGTAAGACGAGAATTAGACCGGTTTAGGGTGGCGCTACGTATCCCCTCAGAGAACCAAGCATTTTCCTTTGACGGAAAAACCCGTGTCCCACCTTAGGGTGAGCTTGTTGCAACCTCACATTCCGCTGACAGTTCACAACACGGAGTGGCCGATCCAGCTGCACGTTGTCGAGAATGCAGCAAGCCATTCTCTCAGTGGCGCGTTTGATCCTTGTCTGCACGCAACGCCGATCGAATACGAGGTTGCATTGCAAGCCACCAGATGCACAGAAGAACATGGCTCAAAGCGTGGCTCTTGCTTGTGCATCACCAGGATCCTATGACACATGGTTTGATAATGACTCTGCAGATGCAGGGGTCGCGCAATTTCTGCAGGCTTCATGCTGCATTGTATTGGTCAGCCCGTGGCCCGGTATAAGCCGGGTATACTTCTGCAAAATGATTCCGTTCCAGTCAGAGGCCTCCCAGGTCCAGTTCGGCATGGAGACGGCGGACTATTTTCTAATAGGCCATGTTTTACTCAGTCGATCAGGGATCGAGATCCTGCAAGGCGCAAGGTAACTGTCAGATATCGTGATCGGCATTGTCGATTCTCGGAGGCAACCCGAAAGACGA